AATACTTAATAATTGAGAATATTGTTAGAAAATCAGTGTAATCTACGGCTTGTGTCTTAGTCCTACTACTAAAATGTAAAACTACTTCCTAATTAAAGATGTGGCATTATTAAGTATAGAAATTAGCCATTGCCGATTGTTACGTTTCATTCATGTGCACATAATTATTTAACATTCTAATGAAATATTTGACCGAGCAATAATTTGCTACACTTCAATAGTAATAATTATAAATGTTTAACTTGCCTATCCAAATTTTACAATCAGATGAAACATTCCTATTGTAAATATTCATATATTGAGGTTAAGTGTCGAAACTTATGGATATGAGACGTGTTATATACCATTGATGGCTAATTGTATGACTGATAGTCAAATTATCATCTAATTGAAGATATAATTCACTTTCCTGTAATCGTTAGGTAATATTTATCTCAAAAACTTGTGGTTTGAAAAGAGGGCTCATTGATTAATGTGTTGTCAATGTCAATGATATTTTACAAAATGTGCAAGTTTATACGTGTATTGCATATGAAACAGATTAATACATGAATATTGTTCTTTACAAGTACATGTTCAATTTAATATCCTTGGGATATGTCTGTAACATACGGCTCAAAGTATAAACTTGACTGTACTACTAAACTACTACATGATATAATTTCGCGCCCTTTCACCTAAGTAGACATAACTTCCAATAAAAGCTGAAAACGTTTACTAAATATATTAAAGTACATTTAGGCTTGTCACAGGACTTGTTTTTGTTACTAATTGGTTTATTTACACTTAAAACTGCAGACATTATTATTGACGCACGCCTTACCAATATAGCGGCCATTTTTATTGCGTCGCGATGATTCGTGTCATCCGCCATTGCAAAGTAAAACGATCTCAATTTTAATTGCAACTACAACACCGCAAGTGCATATCGTTATACAAACTATGTAACAAACACATCCCTTTCATGTTACAATGAATATTTCCCCGAAATAATCACTCATATCGTGGATTTTACAAACTACGCCTGTGTCTTTGACAACTAACACCATTTTGACGTTTTGGTTGACTTGACTTTGCTTTCAACAAATACTCAACAAGCCAGTATCAATACTTATTATATCAATTCCTTCGTATTGATTCTTCTGTAAGGTTTAATGGACTTCTAAAAAAAACTGTGATTTTTCAACATAACTACTCTATCATTCGTACTCCCCTCAACATACGCCGAAAGTATTTGATGCACTGAATAACCTTGTATAGTTCGTACTATAGATAGGTAGATATTTCGTACGAGTACTGGTGTTGATTGGTATAGAAAGATAGGTGCTATAAAACTTAAATAGGATACCTTCTTACTTATGCGATTTTAGAAGAGAATTGATAATTGTAAGTCTATTATAGTATAATTGCATCTATGCTTTTGCATAAATTAAATATTATTTAAATTTATTGCTTATTTCATTACAGGTAAAAGAACTAAACCTGGACAATTGCAGGAGTACTGCTATAGTTGGGCTGACAGATGAATACATTAACCTTGAAAATCTCAGTCTCAACAATGTTGGTCTCACCTCACTTAAAGGTTTTCCAAAACTTCCCAAGCTCAGGAAACTCGAGCTCTCCGACAACAGAATATCCAATGGGTTAAACTTCCTGAATGGTTGCAAAAAGCTAACACATCTCAACTTATCAGGAAACAAAATAAAAGATTTAGACACTTTGAAGCCTTTGGAAGAGTTTGAATACTTAAAGAACCTTGATTTGTTCAACAATGAAGTCACTAGCATTGAGGAATATAGAAGTAAAGTCTTTGCACTACATCCATCCTTAAAATATTTAGATGGGTAAGTCATTCTTTAAATTACTAAACTATATAAATTATAAATGTAAAAGTTTGTAAGTATGGATGAATCTTTGTTACTCTCACTTAAATCTACTGAATGGATTTGAATAATTCAGCACAGATAGTCTGGGATAACTCATGAGGTACTTTTTATGGTAAAGAACTTTCAGCTAAGTCGCTGGCAGAAACTAGTGTGAAATTAATCTGTTCAATACCAACCACACCTTTTTTAATTTACCAATAAAAAATTGACTCTGTTTACAAAATAATATAGTCAACACTAACTCTGACCTTTTCTATTTTCAGGTTTGACAAACAAGACAGAGAAGTTGAGGACAGTGACGCAGAGGAGGAGGATGAAATGAATGGAAATAATGACAGTGAGGATGGTTGGTATAATTTGTATTGTTTATCATTATCTTCATATCAACCGTTTTATAAAATCAACAAGTTCCCCACTAGGCAGTAGTCATGACATTGAACATCATATAATAATAATAATAATTATTATTATTTCTTATTAGAAACTTATAATAAACAAATATGTTTCATACATATTTTCTAATCAGACTCCATCAACACTCACCAATGTAAGCCATATTAGTTTAGTATAATGAAGTTGTTTAAGCAATATAATAACAATGAATAATCAACTTAACACCTATTCTTATCAGAAAAGCTTAAACAGATATTGAAAGGCATACTGCATTACAGATTTGGACATAGATTTGGGTCCGTTGGTGATAAATGATGATAGCATATCCGAAATTCCCGAAGAGGAGAGAACCTCTCTACCAATGATATTATACACAGTTTATGGTCTGCTATTCCACATGGGTTTCCTTTTAAAGAGTAAGCATCAATACTTTATGTCAGTGATGCTTATGTAATACAATGTCTATCCATGTTAGACTGCTGCTACTCATGAAATTGGTTTGGTTTTACCTTGTATTCTGTTAATTACTGATTGTGAAACATAATGTTGATGTTGTTTATTTTATTTGTTTCAGGTTCAGAGGTTGAGGAAGAAGAGGAGGATGATGAGGATGTTTCTCTTAGTGCAGTCTACAATGATAATCTTGGTAAATGGCATTCTTTATATAAATATCACTTCGTAGAGTTGAATTATCATTTGCAATTTAATAAAATACCAGCTGCATTGGTTTCTAATAACAAATGGAACCCTATTGGAAACCAACATGGCTGGTGTCTTGGCTGTCGCAACTTCGCGATGTATGTTCAGATTTATTTTTCTCAACTGTCAGAGTAAATATAGTTCTTTTCCTAGTTTTTAAACAGCGATAAAATTAGTGTACACATACATTTATAACTAGACTTATACATACAGAGCAAATTGAAATAAATATAAATTAAAGCACAAATGTTTATCCTGATTCTTATTTGAAATATATTGTATTCAACAGAAGAGGAGAGCTCAACCAGCTCTTTATATGCAGGCAGTGAAGTAGAAGAAGATGAAGAAGTAGATGATGAAGAAGAGAATGACCATGAGGGAAATCAAAATTCTAAAGTACAAGGTGCGTACTAACCTATTTTAAATACCGCCACGGTACTTGTAACTAGACAAATATTTCTGTAAATAATGATGATATTTTATTATCTTCAGATGGTGAGGAGAATGCAGACGGAGAACCCGAAGAAAGCACTCGGGGTAAAAAACGGAAACACGAGGATGACGATGAGAATTGAGTGTTGCCTTAAGCGGAATTATCTTACTAGTTTGTAAGTGTACAGCGCTCCGATGCATCGGACAATAAACCTGTTCACAATCACGAAACCCGCAGTCATCCCCGTAGACTAGTTGTCATTCGTGAGATTGATCCCCGACACCCAATGAGGCTAGACTCAATCGCTTTCTCTCTAGTTTCACGCGTCCATCGGATGTCGTACAATTTTATGAAGTTTTTCTATCATTGATTAATGTTGGATGTCTCAACAGACATCATGTGAAATCTGTAGTTTGTTGTCCGACAAAGTTAATGTTTCAATTAAATTGTTTATGTAATAATCATTTTTTATTCTATTGATATGCTTAATTTTTAGTCTAATCATTGAAATGAAAGTGCATGATTATTAGGTTAAAATAGCTCTCATTTGAACTACAGTTATGAAGAATTGTATTAATTAGCTATAAGTAAAAACATGATTAAATTGTTAGACAAAACTATTCCAAAAATTTGCCCTTGGAATCTGTTACAAATTTTAGTTCTCACGTGGGCGCCGCCTGTTTTTTGATGACCAAGTTAGACTGATAAAGACATACTAAAAATTTTAAATACTATGACATGACGTCAATTTTCTTGTAGAGAATTATTTACTATAATTACAAATTATGATAATGAGGAATAATACATCAACATGCATGATTTCGAGTTTATAAGGTTAAGAGGAAGAATTAAATATTTTTACAAAAACAAAAGCTAAAGTAATGCCCTCGTTTGTTCTAATGTTTTGGCTCTTATTTACTGCATCATATTTTTACTATATTAACCTTTATATCACCGTCTATATTGCACCAATATCCATAATATTTGGGTGTTGTTGCATAACTAGTGACGGTACTGATATTAAAATATTTTTTTCATCAATTCTTAAATGGTCCACTACTATATTCTATCTATGTATAACTCTTTATCAGGTAATAAATATTGACAATACGAAATTTTTTGTAGTACACATTGATATAAGTAGCATCGGTCAAAGGTTAATATGAATGATTTATACAATTTAACTGCACAGATAATGTGTAACCTCCCACACTGGAATTTCAAAATGCAACATCAAATTATTCGTAATCTCACTAATGATAACTGAAACTATTCCGGAAAACAAAATTAATTTTCAATGGGCGTAGTAAAATATCGTAATCTGATTAATTAGATCAAATCTTTGACGTCTGATGAGTTCAGAGAGTATTTTTCTACAATCTTTTTAAATTTTAAAATAGCAATTAATGCACTTATGAATATCAATGAAATGTTTGGTTGATGCATCATGGTGAACGTGCCAGATATGTTGAAGAGAATTTTAGTTAATAATTTTATTATATTGTGTAAGTCATTAAGTTTAAGTAATTTACAACTTTGGCCTGTTGATATATATTATATATAATCCTATTAAGACTTTATTTCTGGGATTGTAAAATAAAAGCTAAATATATTTTTTTGTTTCATTTACCTACCTGCCCATTATTTTACAGATGGGAGGAAATGAAATGAGTGAAACATACATCACTTACAAATTTATTTAAAATCATCACACACTGATAAGGTAGATCATACACATATTTGTCAACTAGTTTGTTGATCTAAAAACTGTTGCAGTAATGTAACATCAATGGGTATTACCAAATTTTCACTTCCGTCGTATGTGCGTTTCATTTTTATCAATTTGTGATCCAAAAATTCAGTGAGTTGAGCGCGTAATGCAAGATCGGAACTCACCAAAAATTGTTCTCGGCATTTGGAATACAAATCTTTGAATGGCAGTCCTGAAATAATTTTAATAATCTTTATACACAAATTGTAACCAATTTCGGCAACACAGTCTTCATTCAAATGCACGGTTATCGGCCGGGCGAACGGCGGCGGCGCAACGTGTCGTGAGTTGATTGGATTCACACGCAAGAACTTGGTGTGATCACAACAATTTGTGGATCATCACACCTTGTTCGGTCTAGGTATCGTGGGTTTTACTTGTATGTTTGTAAAAGTTCACGACACACGATTACTCAAAATCCCAACACAGAGTTACACAATACGGAACAATATTAAAAAAACCTACAATTTGTGGGCACACCAGAGAGATGAACCATGCCAGTGTGCCCACAAATTGTAGGTTTTTTTAATATTGTTCCGTAATGCATAGGAATTCCATTTAAATAATACAAAAACTATATAAGCCAGTATCTATAGTTATTAAGTTCGTCAATATATCGCCTTTGAAGAGCTATAACATTTATCTATTTTTAGTGCAGCCTACGACAGCCAAAGATACTCCTTAGTTCATTTACATTGAAAAAGAAATAAGAACCATACCTTGATAATTTTGTTTCTGATTTTCTAATTGATATTCTATAATAATTTTGAATATTCCTTTAGCATTTGTAGTAAGTGACTGATATACACTTTTCAATGAAGACAGCTGTAAAGCAACGCTGCGATGCGACATCAAGGAGTTCTCGTAAGAAGTCTCCTCAGAGTAAGGAACAAATGTTGTCACATCCCACCATGTAAATTTGAATTTACTCAGTTTTGTGTGATCCCATACTGAAATGAGAAATTAACTTTAATTAAAATTTTTAAAAGAAATTAAAATTAAAATTCCCAAAAGGTCTCGCACTCGTTATCCGCAACCACGAACGTCCATGGGCGGCGCTGATTGCTTAACATCAGTAATTCGTCTGCTCGTTTGCCGACCTACCATACAAAAAAACTGTATTTCAAAACAATTGCAAAGGTCAGAAATATTTTGAAATTTACTTACGTAAAGGAGCATTAATGTGGTCAATAGTGGCAATCGTATGAACATTTCTGATTTGCGATATACTTGCCAATGTAGATTGAGCTTTTGCATTTCGCAACATAGTGCCGTCTATGTTATGTATTATTAGAAACAAGTTAACGCCATTTTCCTTCAACTGAGTATCAATTAGATTCACAACATCTCCTATATTTGAAGGAACATTGGTGTTTTCCAAGAGATCGATTACAATCGTTTCCAAAATACTCTTAATTGTTAAACTAGGGAAGAAGCCATTAACAACAATACATGGAAAGTCTTTAAGTTTCTGTTTTTGGAACTGTTGGAGCACTGAGCGCTTAGAACCAACTCCATAAAGTATGATATTGAAATTTTCACTTAACACATATAGCCACTTATTAAATAGTTGTGTATAGGAATGATTCAGTTCTTTTATAATTTCTTTATGTTCCACTGATATTTGAATATCATCAACATTATTCTCATCGATGTTTAAGTTTTTCAGTCTTGCCAAAGTATGGTCGGAAGTAGCAATCTGAAAAAGTATTTTTTATTCATATATTAAACACATATTCATACATAAGAAACCGTTTCAATTATTCACAAAATCACACCTTTAGGAAAGGGAGGAAAGTACAAACCTCTACCCACTTAATTCATGTGGTCGCAGTCGGTAGTTATTGCCGAAATAGTATTTGAGGATCATTCCAAAACTGTCCAAAAGGAGCATCCACAAATTAAAGACCGGGCCAGTTGCGCAATTTGCAAGCTAGCCGCGAATATTCGATATTGAATACAAAAAAGAATCTTCGCAGTTCGTGAACAGTAACTCTGCGTAATACTTTTAGAGCATCCATTACGTGTTTGGTTATTCCTTATCTTGAGAAATGCTAATTTATTGAAATTGATATTTTAAATATTTTAAAGTGTGGGAGAGCCATGCTTCGGCACGAATGGGTCGGCTTGACCGGAGAGATATCATGGCCTCACATAAAACCGGCGTGAAACAACCACAGCGTTGTGTTTCGCCGTGTGAGTGAGGTTACCGGGGCCCAATCCTTCCCCTCCCCCAATCCCTCCTCAATCCCTAAATCTCTAAATCCCTAATCCCTAAAAGGTCGGCAACGCACTCGTAACTCCTCCGTTAGTGTCCAAGGGCGGCGCTGATTGCTTACCATCAGGTAATCCGTCTGCTCGTTTGCCGACCTATTACATAAAAAAATAAATAAAAAAATATTGAATTGGCTGCGCAACGTCGCCTTGAAGTGCGTGCTATCCATGAATAAGAGGCCCGTTGTCACTTGAAACTAGTACAGCTTCACTCAGTTAATTCATGTGAGTAAATCATTTTTTTCGAATAAATTCATTCCATTTATGCATTTAATAAATTTGTAATTGCTTACTTTTTTGCTGGAGTGCATAATGAAGTAATTGTCAGGGGTGACATAATATTCCGAATCCTTAACTTTAGTCTTGTTGTCTCTGCCTTTAACAGCTTTACCCACTACTTTCTTTGGTTGTTCTACTTCATCAGATGATGCCTCTTCTGATGAACTTGAATCAGTCTGAAAAATAATGAACAATTTTGTATTTAATTTGTCAAGTAGGCAAGCTGTGTTTATGTTAAGTTGGAGTGATTCACTGTGCTGAATCAACACTCAAATTTTCGCCCTAATTGAAATTACTTGTCTATTACAGTACCTGTCATGTTGCAGATGTCTTTAGTAGTATTGTTACAGTGACCATCAAATAATTTGTTCCTCCTCGTGTTACCTAACCTCCTTGTGTTACCATAAAGGTATCCTAATTATATAATGGAATACCATTAAGGGTACCTATTACAATCTTGTATCTTCAGAAAGATTATGTTACCAAAAATTTACCAGAGGCCCAAAATCGGGTTTGGGGAGTGGCAGGGGAAGACCAATACCAATTATGCACAAAAGAGTGGTAAAGCACTAGGAACTCTTGTAGTCGTACAGGTGTCCATGGGTGGTACTGATTGCTTATCAGGTAATGCACCAGTAAATTTGAGCTTATAAAAGTAATAAAAATGTTTAGGTATTACCTCATCATGGTCACTAGGGTCAGGAACAAAGTCACTGCTGCTGCCAGAAAAATCACTGTCAGCACTATCAGAGTCCACTTCATTACAGATTCCTGAAATTTATAAGAATAATATACACTTATAATACTTATGAAGCTAAATAAGTAATTTGTTAAATACCTTGAAACACAAATTGAAAAATTAATTTTTGTAATGGATAAACAGATCAGTTGAGCAAGGGTTAAAGGCTTCTCTACATGTACTTATTGTGTTTTGCGACATAGTATGAAACAAAGTCACCTTCTCTGTCCCTATATCCTATTTATCTAATCCTTAAAACTGCACAACAGATTTTGATAAGTTTTTTTATAGATAGAGTGATTTAGGAGTAAGGTTTATATGGATAATAACAGCCATTAAATTGTAAAGAAATTTAGTATCAGCATTGCACCTTTGTCAATCCAGAGGGGGTCACTAGTGCTATCAAAGTAGGCAAATAATAAAGGTTAAAAAAAGGAAGTAACCATGATTGATGAATATTAATTTTATGACTGGCACGGTTGGTTCAGTGACTGGGCAATTGGCTATTGCGCAACATGTTGTGGGGTTGGCTGAATCCACAAAATATTATTCTGGGTCTGGGTGTGATGTGTTTGTGAAACTGTATGTTTAAAAACGCACTAACAACACTTGAGAATATCCCAGAACAGGGCAATATAAAAAAAAAATATAGAGAAACAAAAACCTACTTTTTCTCATTATCTCCTTAACCTGTTTGGGTGTTTCCTGTGCCACTTTAATGAAAGACTGGAGTTTCTTTGGAGTTTTCATTGGTGAATCAACAGTTTTTGGAGAATAAATAGCTGTCTTCACTCTGTTTTGTAAATCCTGCTTTGTGTGACGTGATTTAAACTTGAACATGTCCTGGCCTTCGACATCATCTTCAGTAAATAGCGCTGCGAAAGTAGTAATATACATTATATACATTTTTTCTTAAACTTAAACAACAAGGGATTTAAACCAAATCTTGTAAGTCATTAAAAAAATAATTAATTGTAGATGTAATTTAGCTTTAAGTAATTATTTTACGTCAATAAAAGAAACGATACCTGTGGGTTTTGGTAAAACAGCTTCATCGGTTATTTCACTGTCTTCTTCAGAGGAGCTTATATCTTTGTAAGTCCTTCGCTTTACAGGAGAGTCATCTAGGAAATCACCATACTTCTTTGGTTTGGCCCTTATCCTAGTTGTACGTCGTGATGGAGACTCTGTTGTGCTGTTACGATCTTCTATAAATTGTATTTAGATTTAATTTTAGTAACAGTACAGAAATGTGAAGTACTTACTTAATTTTTTTAATATATATAGTAATTGTCTAAAATCGTTTTAGGTACTAGTTCTAAGTATATAGAAGACTAGTCTAACAAATAGATTAATAATTGTTAAACGGCAATGAATTTACCTTGAACAGAATGATTTTCACCAAAACGAAGACGAAAACCGCCACTGGCCATGTTGTTTGATATATAAATCGCACGTAATACAAGAAAACCAAACAATTATATTTAAAATCTTTATTTTAATAGGAACTCATCTGTTCCGCTACTTGCGTTAAGTTTAATATAAAGATATAATCGGCATCGGCAAAACAAACAACCGGTACAAAACGAACACCTGTCTTTTCATTCAACACAAGTACACAACATTTGACATCTGTCAAACAAAAAACTTTTTAATATCATAGATTTCACTTAACTCCATTGTCTTTATGCTATGGATTATGGAACCTTTGTTTAGCAGCAAATAAACTTATTTGAACCATAACACACATACATACACGTATAAAACGGTAGGTTAAACATTAATTTCTATTTGAGACTCTCCCAAATCCGTTGTTCTAGGGCGTATATCGTGCCGCCTGGACCAGAGCCGAGGAGGGCAATGTTTTCTTGACCGTAGTCCGCTGCGCTTGCTGGGCTCTAAATATTTATAATCTTCTTTTCTTTTATCGCTGTAATCTGCCAAACTTCTGACTTCCCGCCCATGTCACAGAGATTTTTCCCGTAACACCTGTGCTCCTAGAGCACCTTAAACACCTAAATAGTGACTGGAATACCTCGATAGCATTGAATCTAGCCGCAGAGCGTTAAAGTCTCTCCCACATTTTGGACTATTAGGACCAGTTAGGACCAGTCGATGTTCTGACAAGTGCAATCCAAATTGCAGTTGCACTGCTTGCACTAGTCAGATACCCCTTTCCCGAGCTTCCTGTTTGACTGGAAGGGAAAGGAGTAATTTCGTCTCCAGTACAGGAAACTAGTTAGTATACATGCTTTCTATAGGATATTGTGAATTAGCGTGCGACCATGATAGCCAGCACCTTTTATGGTGTGCGTCAAACTGTAAATTTGGTAGCCGTCAGGTCAGTCGTCCATATCAAGATGTCATCTGATCTCATCTCATCATGAGGCTCGTAAGTCCTCTAATGTGGGAAGTAGCGTGCATATCTACTTGGTTGCTGGACTGGCCGAAAGTGAGGGTCAAAGTCCTTTCTGCAGTCCAGCAACAACCACAGGTATCTTAAGATCAGCTTATTTAAAATAAGCGTGTAAAAATTTAAAACGCCCCATTTTAGTAAAAAAAATGCTTTCTTATACAGCAACTATACCCTAGCCCAGACCATACAGAGCGTGGTACGCACGCTCTTCATCTTCGGTACAATTTTAAAAGAAAAGATTAAAAGGGTTTAAGTTTTTGGGCGACGAACTTTTCCAGGTCCTTGTGCAGGACTTAAACTGAAAAGTTCGTCGTATATTTAGATGCCTCTGTACGACGACAATAGAAGAAACCCTTTTAGCAAATAAAACTAATATTTACGATGTTTGCCATGTTAATAAAAATACACGTTAATAAAAAAATTATTATTAAAAAAACAAAATACCCGACTGCACACTAAAAAAAGAGTAAAACAAGCCCCACAATACAAATTTACTGAATATAATTATAAATGTTGATGGAAAGCATCGCAGGCGGGGACCAACAGAGGCTTGTTTATAGTCATTTCTGTTGTGCACCATTTAGCAGAATTTTCGTTGGTGGCGGTCAAGGTGGTCCCCGCCTGCGATGCTTTCCATCAACATTTATAAATTATATTCAGTAAATTTGTATTGTGGGGCTTGTTTTACTCTTTTTTTAGTGTGCAGTCGGGTATTTTGTTTTTTTAATAATATTTTTTTTATTTATAACTTTTTAGCTGTTTTTATATAACGTTACTCCCGTGATTGAAATGAATCTAATGATACCGCATACATATTTTTTTAAAGGGAAATTTAGAAAAAATATTATTATGTCTTTATCCCGTGGGACTTTTAGGATAAAATGTATCCTATGACACTCCCGTAATCAAGACAAATCTAACGATACCTCATACATCAAAATCCATCAAGCCGTTTAGGCTACAGGAGGTCACAAAGGAAAAGACATACATACATACTTACATACACTCGAAAAACATTACCCTCCTTCTTTGGCAGTCGGGTAATAAATAAAACAAAAGTGTGGGAAAACTATGCTTCGGTAAGAGTGGGCCATTTTATACCAATGGCCAACTAACTTGCAAATCCTCTGGTGTTGCAGGAGTCTATGGGCGGCGACGACTGGTAACCAGTACCTAAGTAACATGTTTGCCGCCACATCCCAGAGAAATAAAACAATTTGATAATCAAAAATATTTTAATAAATTTCAGTATTTCATATCAAATTTTAACAATTCTTTTATTTTGCAACTTACAAACGTAAACATGAGAACTTAGGTTTGAAAAATAGTTTTTCTTACATCACACTTCATACATAGTATCAGCAATATTTTCATTTATTTATTTTATTCATTTTTGTACGGAATTAAATTTTCGGATTGAATATTATTACATAACTACGAACATTTGAAATACACATAAGAAATAACAAACAAAAACATAGCATAACAAAATTTTAAGTGCATATTAAAATCCAAGTAGATTAAAATTATCACAGAAAGACAATTGTTACTCCAGTACAATCTACTTGGATCTATTATACACTTTATACATCACTTTATAAGCTATTGGAAAACTTAATAGCTAACTTAATATTATCGAGCTTCTGTCAATGACGTGGGGAAATAAGTCTTGTACCTATAGTAACCAAGTTAAGTCATTAGAGGAAGTCAATGAACAATGTATGAGTTATGACTGGTAATTATGATGATGATTATGCATAAGTACATAATTAAAATTATTGGATATAGAAAAGTAATCTATCTATTTGGTACAAGTATACTAAACAACTGATATTTTTTCAGTTGTTTAACGGTCTACGTCAAGACTTTAGCCAACCTGACACGGTTTTTATGAGTTAAAATCAATCAAGCACATCAGAAACTAATTTAATATATTAGTTTACTGATGTATGTACTTGAGTGTCGCTGCTCTAAAACGTTATAATAAAGTCATTTTAATAAGAACAACCTAATCCTATTATAGCACATTTACCTAACAATATTTTCGCATTATTTCTATAAAACTTAAAGGCGAGGAAACTTAATTATAAATAAACGATGGAATGGAGTTCCATGAATTTTATGTAATAGTCATTTAATATTTTTTCAGATAACGTTTTGTATTTTCTACCAACATTGACATTTCTATTGTACTTTAGAAAAGGGTATTAAGTAGAGAATGATTAAAAAATAGTATTATTGGTACTACAAGTAAGTACCTAAAGTGGAGTATTTTTTATAAGTAACATATTATTTCTTCTGAATGTTTAGTCTACATAGTAAAGGTAAGTATAAATAGTAGGCGAATTAGTATCCCGTTATTATTTCTCTCGCTTATATAGACATAGCAAGACTACATATGATCATGCGTCACATCACTGTATAACTCTCCACAAGTTAAACAGTCTGTAGGTATCTAACTTTTAAAGTTACGTACTGTACAATACGTATTACGTTAATAAGTAAGTACGTAGTACAAAACAAAGTCGCTTTCTCTGTCCCTATATCTATATGTACGCTTTAACTTTTAAAACTACGCAACGGATTTTGTTGCAGTTTCTTTTCATTGATAGAGTCATTCAAGAGGAACTAGGTATTTAGACATCGTGAGAAAATCTGGACTTATAATTTCTAATTATAAGTTTGAAATCGCCAACCCGCATTGAGCAAGTATGGTGATAAATGCTTAACCTTCTCCGTGTGAGAAGAGACCTGTGCTCAGCAGTGGGCACTTATAGGCTGATGATGATGATGACATCTTTTATAAAGGCTTATATATTTTGAAATTAAAAAATATAAATTTCAAAATGTAAATCGTATACTATAATATTGTTAAATAAGACATAACATAAAGTTAATGGTAGTAGTAGAAGACATGAGACCACTCCACTTTGTGCGAAATTAATATTATTTTATTATTATTCTTTCTGTGTATTTATTATAAGAGGTTTTTATCCAGTCCCCACCTATTTTATAAGTCAACCCTACCTATTGTACCATATCTATAAAATCGTTATTAGATTCTTTTTGAAATAAAATACCCAAGCAATTTATTTCTGGTTTTTTCAAACATATTTCATGAAACGTTCGAGTTTACAACTGGCCGGTTCTAACGAAAGGAAACAATATTCTTTTATCTGCCATTAAAAGGTTTGATTGTTAAATTTTCACGAATTGTCAAATGTTACCTATTAAATCAACTCCACAATTGAACCGTTAGTACTATTCCATACTGCCTAACTTGATTTTTCAATAAGTCAATGACTGTTCTTATAAAAAAAATACACATACGTTTAATTAAAAATTACAGTTCTATTTAGAAAGAGAATTACGTATAAGCTAAAAAAACAAAACTGCTCAAATTGTTAATTCATCACTTTGGTCATAAAATAAAGAAAAAAAGAAAAATTATTTTCAATGACTTAAATATTAATTTATTCATTAGTATAAAATTCTAAAACGTTTACCGAATTCACGGCAAATAGAATTTACATACAAATTGTACTTTAACCTTTTGAATTCATTTATTCTGTAAAAAGAAGTGTCTAATTAGTAGATTTTTTACGTTAAAGTTATCGACACGTTTATGATACTCAGCGCTCAAATTGGCCTGTTCTTAGTCAACAAACCAATCAAAGGGCTGAATGTTCCGATCACGGCAATGTACCATTTTATAAAAGATTATACAATGTACTAACTCTCACTACAATAGCACTCTGATCGCAAGTCGATCACCAGGGCTGGGAAAATCAAAAGTAATCAGTGATTCAGTTCTATCAAATAGATTTCAACTCTATTACAAAACTATAAGGTAGGATATAATATAAGTACGAATAAAATGGATAACCAAAAACAATTTACTAAACAAAATCATTAAGTCAAAATAAATGAATTACAAAATCGTTTCACTAACAATGTGCTTAGTAGTAGGTAGTAAAATGTTTGAATTGATGCAAAAATGTAAGTCTTAAGATAATTATTGCTCGATTATATTTCCACTGAATGCCTTTTAGTCATTACTTAGACGCAAAGAGTACATAGTAGACAGTCTAGTTTTAGCTTTATGTACATTTGAGGCAAGTTATATAAAAATATTCATTTCAATAACAAAAGCGTTATTAATAGTAAATAACCAGAGGCGGCGTAAGCCGTGGGCGACGTGGGCCACCGCCCACAGCTTCGCGGTACAGGGGGCCTCGCACCTCAAGAAATTCTATCTTTCGTCTTGAGGTCGCCACAGAAAAAGGCCTAAAATCCGTCTTGTCCACATTAAAATTAGGTCTTGCCCCGTCACTGCTTAACTAATTATTAACAATATTATTATCAACTAAATGGTCAATTGCTGTCAGAGAGAACCTCGTGTCAATCAATGTACCTTCTAATAACATTGGCAGCTTCGGTCTGGCCCATATCTTCGAGGATCATCGCCAGCGACTTGGATGATATGTCATCACGGGAATCCTGAAATTATTTAACTTTTTTTATCAGCATTCTGAGTTATGCTAAGGTTCAACATAAAGTACTGGCGAATGCTCAGTAGGATAGAAAATATAGTGTTGTGTTTGATGGCCTCTAAGCATCTATAGATACTAATATTATAAAAAGGTAAAATTTGTAAGTTTGTATGTAGGGGGTAATCTTTGGAACCGCTGGTCGGATTTCCAAAATTCTTTCACTGAAAGGTAGCTACTATGTTCCTGAGTGCTATAGGCTATAAAACACGCTACGATTGAATGGAGCATCGGGTGAAACCGCGCGAGAGTAGCTAGTTGTGAGTTCAGAAAGCCTTAAAGAACGTTTAACTGTACAAATGGCGTAATGGCGGCCTCCTTATCCCCTGATCACGACAACGACTAGTATGTCGAGAATGAGTGTAAAAAGAAGAATAAAATGGTTTACCTTAAGGTGATTAAGAAGTGTGAGCGTAGGGCTGGGTTGCGCAGCGTACCACTCCATTAGGGAATCGAGGCGCAAGCGCTGTGCTAACACGCGCCACGCTCCCGACACGTCCACTAGCACAGACACCTCGCGAGCGTACAGGTTTAACTCCTGTAGGCCGTTGTCTGGTTGATCCTAACAGAAAATATACTTGTAGTTAACTAGCAGCTCGCCCCTGCTTCGAACGGGTCTCATCATCTCGCTTACGATGATGAGACCCAGTCCCTATTACCCAACTCTCCCCTCTACTTTTCTAAAATTTAGTTTCATAAGAACCTTCTCCTGACAATAACACACATAACAAAAAAAGAATCAGTAGAATTGGTCCAGGCGTTATTGAGTTACGCAAATATGTCATAAAACGGCACTTTTAACATCAAAAACTTGATGAAGCCGGCATTTCCTGTCTGACTACCTAATCTAAGAAGAAATGCCGAAACAAACTCAGAGGTACTTTTTATGAATTTTATCTGAGAGGCTAGCTTTTGACTTCAATCATATTTTATGTATTGACTTTATTGAATAGTTGAAATTGATCTCAGTCGGAGGAAAATATAGGTATAATATACAGCATTCTTGTTCGTTTGTCTCGCTTGATATCGGGCAAGTAACTGGATATTTAATATCTGTGGCTGTGAATGATATTTTGTGAAGTGAAGAATATGTTATAATAATTAATTCATTGTTTCATTGTTTCATTGTTTCAAATCACTCACATTTATGTAGGTAAATATTTAACACTTAATTGACGAATGACCCAATTTTGTTTAAAACCCTTGAGGAACAAGTAATATTATTAAAACGCTGTTTTTGAGAGTAAGTTTAATATGAGCTCTTTTCGCTTCTATTAGAGTTCTTATTTATTATTATAATGTAGTACTTACGCCTTCATCAGCAGATTCGAAGTCATCGTCTGGTTCGGATTTAATGTCGTCTTCATCCATGTACTCCATATTGACGTAAGCTTTCATTAATTCACGAAGTTCAGGCTTCTTCTTGACTAGCATCCAAGCGGATTCGTTGCTATCTTCGCGTCGTAAAGGATACGCCTAGCGACAAGAGAGGTTCGTTTAGATTAGAAAACCGTTAGGTACAGAATCCAAGGAACATTACAACTTTTATTACTTGTTATTGTTATTATTTATAATCTATTACTCAACCAATAAGGACTACTGGCTTTAGAAGAATTTCCTTTTTTTTCGGAGGCCTCATATCGATTGTCCATCCAGCGGTTGTGGGCAATTAATAATTTACAGTTGTATTGTTGTTATGAAGTAAAAAATATTTCAAAAATGAGAAGAAAATAAAGTTGTTTAATACTCAACCTGTAACCTGTTTTAGTTTAGTGTAAGTATTAACTATTTAACTATCACACACCTTCTTTTCTAGAAGGAGTCTAGCGATTTCAACAGTATTCTCCCTGATCGTAGTACCGCCGCAGACAATCTGAAGAGCAGTGTTACCAGCGCCGTCCATAACGTCGACTTCACTCTGAAATTTAAAATTTATTGAAGTTGTCTTTCAACTTTAATAAACGTAACAAGAAATATTATTATCGAATTCGACACGTGACCAGACAAAGATAGATATATATACTTTTAAACTTTCGCGTTTCTTGTTGGTGTACCTATTAACGCGAAAAATAATTATTGAAATAACTTGGTAGGCTTGACGTTTCGACTTGGTTGTGACACCCATTAGTGTCTGAATAAAGATACACTTATGGTGAAGGAGAAAATCGTTAGAAAAGCAATATACTATTTCGTATTATCTAAGTATAAGGTTCAATCCGCTTTGAGCAAGCGTGGCGAGTAACGCTAACTCCTTTTTCATGTGAGCAAAGGCCTTTATTCAGCAATGGGCTCTTAAAGGTTGATGACGTGTAAAAATACTTACGAAAGGTATGAACTCGAGAAGGATCTTGATGACGGCGAGGCGGTCGTCGTAGGCGGCGAGGTGCAGGGGCGTACGGCCGTCCGCGTCCCGCGCGCTGTAGCTGGCGCCGTGCTGCAGCAGGACGCGTACCCCGCTCTCCCAGCCAGCCACCACGGCCATGTGTAACGCGGTTTGTTTTTCTGTTACATAAATGAGAAAACATAAATAAAACGTTACTTTTTCAGTGTGAGGAGCCATGAAGCGTTCCATTTGGCGCGAATTTATGGCATGGTTTGCTTATCCGCTTCATTACGAACAAAATTAATACATTACTTTTTCAGTGTGACCCGTTCAATTTGGCGCGAATTCATGTCTTAGTTTGTTTCTCCGTTTCATTATGAACAAAATATTTTTTACTTTATAAGCGTAGGAGAACAATGAATCGGCAATTATAGTTCGACTTAGCAATATCTTTCGGCACGAATATAACAAGGCCTCACAGAACACCAGCATGTATGAGTGAGGTTACTGCTGGCCCAGACAACGGCAACGCGCTTGTACTTCCTACCACCAGGTAACTCGTCGATCACATAAAAAATGTGTTCACCAGATGGCGCTACTTTCGGAAATCGTCCTACTGGGTCAAAATTTATACTGTTCTGTTATCTATCCGATTGACCTCTTGACAAACTTCAATCATATATTAACATCGGTGTCTGCCGAAAAATAAAACAATGACTTATTTTTGATGTTTTTTGCGGTTGTAAATAATTATGTTGCAGAGCTTGGTTTATCTGTTCCACACGTGATACGAAGCTTATGTTACATATAGTTCTATATTCAAATTTAGTTGGTACATAGCGGGTATATAGATATTGGGATAAAGGCCTGTTTTACTTGACCTATTCATCATTATCATCATCAACCCGTTACTCCAATTGTAACACGTGATTTAGCTTAAATTGCTTTTCTTACAAATAGAATGTAAAACTACTGCATTAGAAGTTTTAGAGTATGGGAGGGCCATACTTCGGCACGAATGGGTCGGCTCAACTGGAGTGATACCACGGCCTCACAGAAAACCGGCGTGAAACAACCACAGCGTTGTGTTGTGAATGAGGTTACCAGAGGCCCAATCCTTCCCCTTCCCCTTGTCCCTCCTCAATCCTTAATTCTCCAAATCACTTAGCCCCAAAAGGTCGGCAACGCACGCGTAGCTCCTCTAATATATCGGGTGCTCATGGGTGGCGCTGATTGCTTACCATCAGGTAATCGACAGCACATTTGCCGAACTATCACATAAAAAAAAATTTGACCTACCTCCATTGTATTCGTTCAAGTCACAAGGCACATTATTCTTCTTAATAGTGTCAAGTAAAGTCTCGAGGCACGACTTGTATTTCACTGCGTAGTGGATCACGTTTAGGTCTTCGTCGTCTTTCATCATCGGATTTGAACCTAGAACATAAACAATTCTTGAAAGGTATTATCAAATCAAATTTTTACTTATTCGAAATGTTAAAAATGCAAATATTTGACTGACACCCGGTTTCTGAAAGGCTTGTCAACGCTAAAATTAACTAATCTCCTGTTAAATCTCTTGTCGAGTTATCTGATTGGTTGTTGATAATTCAGTCAACCAATCAGATGACTTGACAACAGATTACATTGATCGGCCTTTCGGAAACTGGGTGTTAGTAAGATCCTTATTATAAGCTGTTGTAATCCACGTGGATCGGCACATTATGTTTAAAATCTGAACTTATTATTGGTTATTTCAGTAGGGCTAAATAAGGTTCAAATTTGACCTTCAGATAGCGGTAAAGACCTCACGCTGATAACAGCTACTTTTTTAATTTTTATACGATTCAGTAGGTAACCAATTTTGAAATCCAACTCATCATCACACTTGTAACTATTAGACTAACGACGTTTTTGTAATGCAGATATTTTTTAACTTTGCCGCCCTATGTTGTCCACACTAGGTTTTTCTCCTGTGTCGTGGGTGCGTTTAGAAACATACAACAATTTATGGATCACACAAAGAGCTGTTCCCGGGTTGCAGGAAGGCCAGTTGTCCAGCCACATAATCAACCAAGCAGTCAAGACGGTTATTGCGATCCCTAAAAATATTTTTGTTTACCTTTAGAAACGAACAAGGTGACCATTTTGGGCATGTCGTTGACAACGGCAAGGTGCAATGGCGTCTGTTGCCTGTCATTGGAGAAGTCTAGGAGATGAGTTGCTCTCACGCTGTGAATAATCTTCACTATGTATTCTAAACTTGGCTGGTTACTGCATAGAGTCATGTGAAGGAACCTGAAATAATAGTCATGGTAAATCATCATCGTTAGCATCATCAGAATGGGATAAAGAATAGCTACGCATGGGCCAACTCTATACTTAGGTTCAAGTGTGGGACAGCCATGCTTCGGCACGAATAGGTTGGCTCGACCGGAGTGATACCACGGCCGCACAGAAAACCGGCGTGAAACAACCACAGCGTTGTGTTTCGCCGTGTGAGTGAGGTTACCGGAGGCCCAATCTTTCCCCTCCCCCAATCCCTAATCCCCAAAAAGATCGACAACGCACTCGTAACTCGTTTGATGACCGATTACATAAAAAAATATTTGATTTCTCTTTACAGTACTTACACAGAAAAGCTTAAGATATACTTAATGTACAATGGGCGGTCTCATCGCTAAATGCGATTTCTTACAGGCAATCTTTGGATCGACCCGGCGATTAGGATTCGGGAAATATGGGGTTAACAGGTGTACAAAAATACCTTATCAATAAATACTACTTATAATACACATATAATGTATGAGTGTGCAATTATAATTATTACGGACGGCTGACAGGCCCGAAAATTAGTAAAAGAGCTACTAAACGTAGCGTGGGCAGGTCTCTCGCTAGGTGTACCGACGACACTGTCAGAGTCGCGGGATGGATGTAGGTGGCGCGTTGTCGTTCGACGTGGAAGGCTAACGGGGAAGCCTTTGTTCAGCAGTAGACGTCTTCCGGCTGATGATGATGATGTTTTTTTTATAATATAATTTTATAATAGAATACTTACGTGTCTCCATTCGACAGACGAATCTCGAATAACCTTTCCAAGCGACTTTTTACTTCGGCTTTTTTGAAACCTTTCTTGTTTCTAATCATTTCACAAATTTCTTTTACCAACTGCAAATAAAAATATCGTTTGAAAATATGTAAGTACATAACACAGATGTGCAACATTTGCTTTAGGATTCAATTCGAAATAAAGATAAAAGTAAATCATAAATCAGAAAACAAAAATGTTGGTTAATTTTTTTTCAAAAGTTGGGAACTAATCTTTTGTGCGTATACACATATGTATGTTTATTGAGATCATAGTATCTGAGATAAAACCCCTAAATAAATACAGATTAAAAAAATCGTGTACCAATAACAATAAATTGTCAATTACCAAATTCGTTGCAACTGATAGGCTATTATAAAAGATAAAATATTTTACTGCCTTATAGCGAAGATTTTTGTGCTTTTTGTTAATAATTTTATTTTAGTTAACAGTTAAATTATTTTATCATTTAGTTTATATAATTGGTATAGTTTTTTTTTTTCCTTTTTTTGGTATTTTTGATTTCTATGTGTGTGCGCTTGCGCAGAAGTAAATGTTTCTTTCTTTCTAATCATTAGACCAACTTACTAATCTTAATTCTTAACTTATTAATATTATAAATGCAAAAGTTACGATGTTTGGATGTTTGTTACTCAATCACGCCAAAACGGATGGACGGATCTGAATGAAATTTGGCACAGGCATAGGATACGACTCAGGGAACAGGACATAGGCTTCTTTTTAACAACATACCACGCGAGCGGAAGCTAGTAAGAAATATGCGTTCGTTACATCATTTATCAGTGTGCTTAGTGCGAGTTTGTTTTATGGTAACGCAACTGAATCGTTTAGACCTCTGATTGGTAACTTGAGCAGGCCAATCAGAGCGTCGAACGTCATAAAAAAACGACATTTTGAACGGATACGTATTCGAATACACACATAACAATGTTACAAATTTGATTGCGAAATTAAGCTATTAGAAAGACAAATTTAACAGAGTGTTGCGATTTCATGATACATTTTTTTTATGAGAAGGTAAAATCATTAAATTACTTCTCCTATTTCCTTCTCCCTGAATGGGATGAGAGGCAGTGTCTTCCACTGACACCCGAAAGGGACATTCTTATCGACTAAAAACCACCCCAGTTCTTCTCCTGCTCCGGGCAGGATAAGATTTTTAAGTGGGCGGTAACAACATATACCTTCTTGGTTGAAACGTCAAGCCTTCCAAGGTACTTAAATAATTACTTTTCGCGTTAATACTCGTTTGGTAATATGTTGTTAACATGAAACATGATAGTTGATTTTAAGGTGGTAAGGAGCTCACGGTGTCTGGTGAGTAAAATGGAATAATATAAATACAGGTGGCCCAAAAGTGGTGGTATGTTGAAGATAATATTAAGTTTAAAGATTTTTTTTTTCTTAAATCACAATTTTTTATTTACTTCGGACCCCACTGTGAAAAATAATACTTGACCCTGTATAACAAGTTTTGAAGCATTTAATAGGGATTCTGGCAATGTATTACGCAAGGCCATGAGTGGCGTTGATATCTTATAGTAAGTATAGGTATTATTATATACTTATAGGTAATATTCACGTAATATTGTCCTAACAACTACCATATTACCTTGCACCTTCGTTACAAGAAAATAAAACACTGTACCTTTTTAACTTCAATTCCGTCTTCTGTCTTATAGAACGCTGGATACTCGGTTTTGGGTTTTATATCTGCTTCTTTTTTCAGATCACGCGCAGGTTCCTGCATCCTGTCTCCTTGCAAGCGTATGTTGGCCTTGTTCTCTTGCTGAAAATTTAACACAATCGGACTTATTACAAAACAAGGTTTTTCTTTAGCCGTTTAGAGTTTTGTATTTCGAATTGAAGGTAGGTGAGCATAAGATTCAAAATTCGAAACCTGACTCAATTGTTTAAACCTAGACTAAAGATAAATGTTGTTTGTCATAAAGGGAAATGAATATATCTATAATTATTATTCGATGCTGTCCATAATACTTCAGAACCATTGTATTGATTTGGCTTAATTAAGATTGAAAGACATCAAGAAAAGAAGGACGTTTCCTCCCCCTCTCCCTCCCCATCCCTATCCTCAAATCCCTTACAATCCACTTAAGGCCGCAACGCTCTTGTGGTTCCTTAAGTGAAGCGGGTGCCCAGGGGCGGCTCTAATGGCTTTCCATTAAGTAATGCGATATATCGTATAAAAAGATGAATGTTGTAACTTTGTAAGTAAGAGCTTACAAACCTTTGGTCGTCCAGAGTCGGCTAACAGCAAGGTGCGAATGAAGTCCATACTGCTTCTCTAAACAACATAAAAGAACCTCGTTACAAGAAATATATTAGACAACAACAAAAATAAATATAAAACCACTGGATAATCAATGAAAACACTAATGAGAAAAACGAGAGAACGCATAATGACAAAATAGTTTTAGATAATCGGACATATACTTAAACATCATAAAGAAATAATTAACGTTATTTACTTAGGGCTGGTTTATAAAATTGTTGCTGTCACTGTCTTTTACAAACATTCTGACGCGACAGAATCATAATTATTCCCCAAGTAACTTTTACCTGACTATCGAAAAATCAGCCCTTAATGTGTTCTTACGTACGATTGACTAATACTTAATAATAATTTTAAATGTAATGTTGACGGGATAAACAATACTAAGTACAGATAATAATGATCTTACAATATTTCACACAACTACAGATGCCGTGAAAAAAGGGACTATAGTTATCGATAAAAGTAGTATTTTTCGATATATATCGATAGTTTCTTAGGGGTCGATTCTCAAAACTAAGACTAAACGTGGGTTCAGGTACCACTGACTTTTGACCACATTATGTTATCAATGAAATAATCGCACGGACAAAATGTTGTGTTTCCAATTCCGTGTGAGTGGTTACGAATCCTTCCCCTAACATCCCTCCTCAATCCCTAAACCTCCGAAACCCTAATCCCAAAAGGCCGGTAGTGCATCGCAACTCCTGGTATTGCGGGAGTCAGATAATTCATCAGCTCGTTTGCCGACATATAACATAGAAAAAAACCTAGTTTTATCTAATATTCGTATCTCTTATCTAAGCTGGTAGCTCTTTCGTACACCTAATAGACCTGATGATGAGGTGTCTGGTTTAAAAGTCGTAATTCACAATTTCATCAGATGTCAAATTATCAGTTACTTCTTCAACTATCATGTTGATTAGTCATATACAATAACTGCAATGAAAAATAGGCAATAGATATTGTTTAAACTTACTTCATCGGTTAAACTTTCACCGTAGCTCCTCATGTATTCTGTGAACAAAATAGAGGATATTACATGTGACGTCCAAACTTGAAAACTCTTACATACCTACGTACATAACACACGAGTATTTTCTAAATTAAAAAAAATACTATTATATTCTGGAGGTCCCCGGGGATTCTACTTCCAGTACTATCAATACTTCTTCTTGGGATCTTACAAATTTCAGTATTTAATAATTTAGATTTGGAATACTAATAGAAAATGCAAATTTTCATTACGTGGATAATTCTTTGAATAGGTTTATAAGACATACTAAATTTATATGAAAATAACGTACTCACATACATTAACTGAGAAAAGTACTACTTGTTTCAAAATTACAATTGAATGGGCTTCAACTTTATACTTACCATTCAAAAAGTGTTTAATATCTTCCGGAACCTGGGGTTGCGGGTCATTGCTGGTGGGTACTGTGATCTGTTCGAAGTCTGCAGAGTTGAGCTGAAGGTTGGCGATGGGAGACATGGGCAGCATCACACTGTGAGGCTCACTCCACATGGGGCTGGATATAGGAGACTGGCTCGTCTCTGACCCGGGCGCAGAGTACAATGCACTTGCTAGATCACACTGGTTTGGCGTCGCCGAATCATGCACCTGTCAAAAAAATACAATAATATCACCCCAAGTGTATTCGTGGATTTCGTCATAAGAGTCCCAGGGCCTACACATTTCCCGAATGTTCTTTCCTACAAAAACATTAGACTTTCACTGGTAGGGCCCAACAGGATCGACGTTTAGCCGAGGTTGCGGGGCAAGCGCAATATGGTACTGCGGGATGTTTTTAGTCAGTATATAACAGTGACATCTTGGCTTCTCTCGCCTCACACTGCGCGAGAGAAGCATTTGCTGATTTTCAACCCTCAAAAAAAGAGCCTAAATATTTAACAGAGTCCGGCCAACGATGGTTTCTGATAAATCGCTACTATTAAACAGTAATTTTGAACATGTCTACCAATCGAGAAAATTATAACAGACATCTTATATACGAGACCGTGCAGAAGTGACAGACAGACAGACACTGTGACGCGTTATTAAAGGTGAATGAATGAATGAATCTACCAGCTTTTGCCGCCTATAGCTTTTCTCGGGCGCAATTAGAGGCTAATAGAGACCTTCTTAAGATCGGGATAAACAAAAAACTGCCTGCAAAAGTAACATTGTCACTTGTCAGCGATAAAATACTTCTTATTTATACCGAACTCTTTTATTTTTATTGTTTTAATAGTATGTATACTGTAACATTACTCACCTGAGGTAAAACATACATCGAAGATGGGACCGGAGGCTCGCGTTCCATGGGAACTTCTTCTGGTTGCTATAAACATAAAATAAAACAATGTAGGTAGGTACATATTATTATTAGGTGCGTCCCATTTGCAAACCGGTTACCATTTCTCTTACAACTAACAAAGCTCTTTAATTTTGTGGCAATTGGCCAAAATTGACTTTTACTTTTACCATAACGACGTCAATGGTATAGGTGAAGTAAGTCTCCGAATTTTACTGACAAACGACATCTATTGGTTAGTTACTTTGGTCAAAAAAATAAACTAATTCGACGTTTCAATACAATAATTGACTGCACGGTTGGTGCGGTGACTGGGCAACTGGGTGCCGTGCAACGTGTCGCGGGTTCGATTCCCGCACGGAACAACTCTTTGTGTGATCCACAAATTGTTGTTCCGGGTCTGGGTGTCATGTGCATGTGAAATTGTATGTTTGTAACCGCACCCACGACACAGGAGAAAATCCTAGTGTGGGGCAACGTTTAATAAAAAAAAAGAAAAGAAAAAGAAAGAATAAAATATTAAAAAATAACTAAGCACACTTTTATTCATCAATATGTTAGAAATAAGTAAGATATTTGACACAAATTTAATGTAGTATGACGTTATAATTTGGTATTTCAGACAAATTTTATAGGAAAGTATCTTTTATTACAGTCACAAATTATTCGTAATCCGTTAATGCCCTCATGAAACAGCTAACTATCTACGCATATCTGTTGGCGAAAATTGCTGCCAATTATAGTTACTTGCTAATAATTTTTACATAAAATGTAGTTGCATGGACATTTGTTACTACGCATACCTATACTAAAACCAAACAGTACTCTAATTGAAGAAATTATCATAATCGCGATTGATATCCGTATGAAGTCATCACTATTCTAAATTTCAGTTGCAGTTACTAACCAAAAATAATATCTAACAAAAACTTATTTGTATAGTAAGTGCGTACGTACCTCTACCTACTATAATTTAGATAAAAAAAAACTAAAGTACTAAACAACTTGAGTGTATACATAAATATGTCACTTAAAGGGTAATACGAATTTGGGACCCTTTAGAAGCACTTATCCATTTGTTTATCTTGTAACTCGAGCCACAGAATATAAATATAATAGTACTGCTCTAGCCTACGATGAAGTGTTCAAGAGAGTGAATAAATACTTACATGATTGACAACTGATATGGGAATGTCACAACCATTTTTCAACGATCCACCTGAGAAAAAAAATATTTTATTTGGCATTTGAAGTGATTTGATGGTTATTTTATAGCTTACGGTCGTTTCGTTGTACGGGCGGCTGTTAAATTTCAACTTTAGTTTTGCTATAGACAAGATTCTATGGGAAAAACAATGATATTCAAATAAAAAAAGGTGTAGATAGGTTATACGCGCTCAGCAAGTGACGCATTGGGGAGGCCTATATCCAGCAGTGGACGACATCAGGCTGATGATGATGATGAACAAGTGACACATTAAAATGTGGCTAATTAGCCAAACGTTTTCATATTTGCATTTTTTCATCGCGATTATTGAATCACTAGCTTTCGCCCGCGTGTTCGCTCTTGTGGTATGTTGATAAAAAGTAGCCTAAGTGCTATTCCGGGGTGTATCCTATGCCTGTGCTAAACTTCATCCAGATCTTTCCAGTCGTTTTGACGTGATTGAGTTACAAAAACATCCAAACATCGTAACTTTCACATTTATAATATTAAATAGTAATATTAGTAAGAAGTAAGATTACATAGTAAGATGCCATTCCACTTTGACATCTAAACATATTTATAGTTATTCATTAATGTGTGCTGCTTTTGAAGATCGAATGTTGTTTTCAACACCTTTTTACTTATAATATCATTGGGAAAACATACATAAGATGTTTATACAAAAGTGTCTTCAAGTTATCAGATCAACTTACTAGATGAGCTGCCAATAGAACAGTGTGAAGATCCGGCCTTCCTCTTCTTTATCTGCTTGTGTGCCCGGTTGGCTTTGTATGTGAATTGCTTCGGTTCGCTGGTACGGCCGTCGGACGGACGAACTAGTTCGATGTACACTTCTACATCTACGGGCGTATCCGGAACTTTATAGGGAGGAGTTCTATTTACAAAAAAAGGATTAATTGTACAACTTTATAAATAACAAACACGCATGTGCAAGTTTCGCTCGTTTTATGCGAAGCGGGTATATACAAGCGCACAGGTTTACACCTTAGGAAAAAAAATTACACCCAATTAGTGACGGGATTATGCGCGAAGGGCTAGACCGATTCCGATAATTATTTTTATCCTGTGTTACTATGAACTGGAGATAGATCAGAAGAAGGATCTTTTAAACGAAGATTTTGGTAAAGTAAAGGACTATCGTTGACTGCACGGTTAGTGCAATGGCTGGGCAACTGGCTGCCGTGCAACGTGTCGCGGGTTCGATTCCCGCACGGAACAACTCTTTGTGTGATCCACGAATTCTTTGTGTGTTCCGGGTCTGGGTGTCATGTGTATGTTTGTAACAGCACCCACGACACAGGAGAAAATCCTAGTTTGGGGCAACTTTTTAATTAATAAGATAAGATAAGATAAGATTGTGAAACAGCAACTCATTGGGTGCTGCACAAAACAAATTACTTACTGCCCACGGGAACAAAGCTGAATTGAGCATCACGACGAACGTTTTATAAATTAGAATACTTATAAATATATGTGTATATATATGATTGATTGTTATATTGTACTAACCGAAAGACAATTGCGTATTGGTGATGGACATCGCTTTGCACAAATCGTCCAACGTTGGTCCAACTTCTTTCTCCGTTCTCATCCAACTCGAAGAATCGAATCATTATGTTTTCTATAGAAAAAGATACATGATATAATTAAGTAATGTTGATTTAACCGAAATAATTACGCTATAGGTAAAATCCTCAATCTTGGAACAATTTATATAAACTCTACGGTCGTGATTATTTAACAGCAACTAAGTACTTATTTCATTAGTTCCTTTGCCGTCGTATAACATACAAAAAAAAAACAAAACAAAACGACTCTTTGGTCTTCATTGAACTGGCATGAATGCATGATCGATGAATACCTTCATTATGGAAACATCTTTCCCCTTATTACAAAAAAAGATTTATCTTTAATCTAGTATTTGAATTTTGAATCATATTCACTCCTCCCTTTAGTTCGAAATACAAAAACTGGCTCAATGGTTTAGACCTAGACTTATCTGGACCAAAGAAAAACCTTGTTTTGTTATAATGGCACTCGTGTTTTGGTACCTAGGAACATCTTAAAACATACATATAAATATCTAAATACAGTTGAATGAACGAGGAACGTATTAAAATAGAGCCGATTTAGATAAGAATAACTGAGTAATGTGACGACATCCGTTGTAAAACGATATACCTACGTTAAATATTTATACCATCGACCAATGAATGGGTTTCCCAAACAGTTGCATAATACCGATAATACATATTATATTACGAGGGTAAAATAATGAATCTCAGAATTAGATAAAATATAACCAACACCTAAATTATTCAGCATGGATATTTTTTGTGAAGGGAAAATCGTGAAAAGATTATATTGCGTTTGATCTGCAAGTTCTCAACCAACCCCGTCTGTTAGTGAGCATCGAGCTAATAATGTACTTACTATGTCTAGAGCCGGAGAAATAAGGGGATGGCTTTTAGTCAGTAAGACTCCTGACACTCCCGCCCCACTCAGAGCTAGCAAAGTCATTTCATTAAAATCTCACTCTAAAAGCACATTGGCAGATCTATACGCGTACTGTTTGTTTAACATTTTTTTAATAAAACGTGTGGGAAAGCCATTCTTCGGCACGAATGAGTCGGCTCGACCGGTGTGATACCACGGCCTCACAGGAAACCGGCGTGAAACAACCACAGCGTTGTGTTTCGCCGTGTGAGGGTGGTTACCGGAGCCCAATCCTTCCCCTCCCCCAATCCCATTCTCAATCCCTAATCCCTAAAAGGTCGGCAACGCACTCGTAACTCCTCCGTTGCGAGTGTCCAAGGGCGGCGCTGATTGCTTACCATCAGGCAATACGATAAAAACAATAAAAATGCTTAAGAAACTTACTCTTATTAACTTTTTCCACCAATATGAAGACATCTTCACCACCAGATGCAATACCAGTAGACCGACTTATACGACAGATTTTTAAATCGTTAGTCGCAGCACTCTCTGTAAAAATATGTAATGTAAGGTATATAGAATATATTTTTCTATACATACTTACTGTTACGCCAATGTTACGATTCAATACCGAGTCATAAAATGATATCTATGCGTTATTCGTTTTTTAAACAAGTTATTTTTTTCATATGTATAAAAAAAAAAATCTTGTTAACTAACACCATTTGAAAAATCTTCGGCCGAACAAAATAAACTTTTGTATAATTTACTCTGGTTGGAAACAACGATTTCGTTTTAGCAAGTAGTAAGATAAAGCAAATCAGTACGAACCTACAACCAATAAACAAGTTAACAATTTAAAGTGCTTACTAAATAATATATGTGTATACTAATATATGTGTAAATTAGATAGCATAAGTGCATTTTGTTTATTTATCAATAAAAAACATGCGTATCATTATAGATATCATGCTTATATTTATCTATAAGTAATAATAAAAAGGGGAAGTACTAGCGAAAAAACAGAAGAAAGACGTACCTATATTTTCTTCTATTATTTTTAAGAAATACAAACAGAATATTAGTATCCGACTTAGAGATGAATGTAATAAAATACTCACTCATGTTATGAATAGGTTCAGAAAAAACAGGTTCACATATTTCTTGGCCGGTAGTAACGTCATGAGCACTGAATTTCAACCGAACGATGTTCAAGTTTATGGTCCTGGCAATACTCTCGCATTGCACTTGCAGCTAAAAAAAAGAAAAAGAAAAACTACATACCGCATCTTGTGCAGTAGAACATAATTCCTGACCATACGATATAACAGTTCCGTTCAATTATTTTTAAAACAATAACTATTTTTGTTATAATACAATCTGTGCGGTTAGTCACGTTCACTCCACAAACACAACTGGTGTGGTGGACCCAAATTCCCAGAGAACATTTAAGTAGTAGTTTCGGCGTTTCAAAAGTACCTATTTATGGTTTTGTTGGAATAAATGATTTTGACTCAGCCTCCTTGATATATGATCCATTGGTAACATAACTACATCGTATCAAGGAACTGTTGAAAGAAGACTCTCAATGGCTTGAGAAATCTTTGCCTAATAACTCTCCTTATCACTACACCACTTAGGCATAACCTCCCTATTCACAGTTCACACATCGGAATGTGACACAAAAAATATTTATTGCTACAAAATAACTGTTTTTTTAACGCTACATTAGTAGGATGGGAACGTTTTGATTTTGTCCTGAGTCGTCGATACGTGCGTGTACGACGGTGCGGTGGTTGGGCATATGACTTCTGCAAATGTGTCGCGGTTTCGATTCGAGAGCATAAGAAATCTTTATATGATTTACAAATTGCTTTTCCGGGAGTGGGTGTGAATTTGTATACTTACGTACTCAGGAGAAAACCCCGTAGGCACGTTAAAAGAAACAATATACCTACCTAAATAACGTTTGCAAAACAAAGGTCCCATATCAAAGCTTGGCTCCAAGCTTTGAAAACAATGCTCTATTATAACCAAACATACACATCCGTTATAGATTGATTTCCTAAAACATTTGCAAGTTTGCATACTAAACATACATGTGGTAGAAATGGGTGGGTCAAACTAGGTCAAAAACAGCATAAGATTTTATATTGAAATAAAATCATACTATCATCCGTCGATTTGACGATATTCTTATTCATAGACCTTAAGACAGTTTTTTTGAAATAGTTTGCTATTTGACGTAAAAACATTATTATGACATCATATTATGATGGGATTTCTTCCAAAATTCAAACAAACGTATCAATATTGATATTAAAAAAAATAAGTTTTGAATTTGGATAGTTGGAAATTACCGTAATCATTAGGAATATTTTTAACGATAGACGAGGGTTCTCGCATAAAAAGCTAACAAATAAAAGATGGATACTTACTATCATGTTGGAAATGTTAATGAAAACAGTAAATCTACTTACGTCTTTTAAGCTCAGATTGGAATTTTTCAATTGTTGAGAGTATTTCTTGAATAGAAGTGGCGCGACATCCTTTTTCGCGGTATGTATGATACCGATACCGCCGAACCTGGTAACATAAAATTAATAATTATGACACGGTCGTATTTGTTGGAGTAGGTAAGGTCAATCTTGTGGTGGATAACTATGATGTAGAAACTACAGCATCGAACTACGAGTAGGCTTGTGTGGAGCACATGCATATTTATTTCGGGCTCGGTCCTCACAAGTTTTCTTGTCTAAGGGGTTACACACACAACAACAAGTCAAGAGAATCAAGTGACTTTTCGTGTAAAAAATAAATTTGATTAATAACCACTCGGCGTCGCTTGGCGGCTTGGAGTGAACTGGCCCTTATTCGTCCGTAGAATATTGTGTCCAGGCTCAAAGCACTCATGAGTAAGAATGAAGTATCTACTAGCAACTACAATCCATTATTTCCACGGTTACAACGTGATAAAATACCCTCATATAATTTTGTTTTATACCTGACTTTATAGCTCCCCTGATCAGGTACTAGGCAACTCATATCTCGGTCCTGTTCATCTTCAAGTAATTTGTGGGGATGTTCCTCCGTGTTGTTATGTTGAGCCAAACGACATCTTATAAGAGCTTTCCCTGTATAGTTGAGTAGCTGCAAAAAGTAGAAAATAAATAAGACAACGTTTAAAGACACGACATGTTATTTTTATACGATACGGGGGTAAAAGAGTTTTCGGACAACGTGATAGTAAGCAATCGGCACCCCCCATTGACACCCACACCACCAGAGGAGTCAAGCAGTTCGTTGCTTGCCTTTTAGGAGTAAGAGGTCCTGGAGTTGCCTTTTGGGGGAAGGGTTGGGCGTTTGGTTACCTTCATCACGTTGTTGACGCCGGTTTTTTGGACCTCACGGCGGTAGTATGAGGCTGTTCGAGTCGGACCATTCGTACTCTGCCACACTTTTTAGGGTTCCGTAGCCAAAATGGCAAAAACGGAACCCTTATAGTTTCGTCATGTCCGTCTGTCCGTCTGTCCGTCTGTCCGTCTGTCCGTCTGTCCGTCTGTCACAGCCAATTTACTCGGAAACTATAAGTACTACAGTGATGAAATTTGATGGGAATATGTGTTGTATGAACCGCTACAAAATTATGACACTAAATAGTAAAAAAAAGAATTGGGGGTGGGGCCCCCCATACATGTAACTGAGGGATGAAAATTTTTTTTTCGATGTACATACCCGTGTGGGGTATCAATGGAAAGGTCTTTTAAAATGATATAAAGTTTTCTAAAAAACATTTTTCTTAAAGTGAACGGTTTTTGAGATATCAGCTCTCAAAGTCGTAAAAAGTATGTCCCCCCCCCTCTATTTTTATAACTACGGGGTATAAAATTCTAAAAAAAATAGAGGTGATGCATGCTAATTAACTCTTTCAACGATTTTTGGTTTGATCAAAGTATCTCTTATAGTTTTTGAGATAGGTTGATTTAACTGTAATTTTGGTTAAGTTATTGTGCTTACACTGAAAACGATGGCTGAACCTTATAAGATAGATCAAAAAATATACTACAGTATTGTACACCTTTAGGTGTATAAATTGACATAATAAGTTTATTATATTTGCTGCTACGGAACCCTTTGTGCGCGAGCCCGACTCGCACTTGGCCGGTTTTTTATTATTATATATAAGTAGTTAAGTACTTTGTATAATATTATACATCTGCAAGACTTTGTTTGTTTGTTTGAACGCACTAATCTCCGGAACTACTGTTTCGAATTGAAGAATTCTTTTTGCGTTTGTTAGTCCATTTATTAATGAAGGCTATACACTATGAAACATCATGAAAACGTGCGAGAACAGCTAGTGTAAAAGAAAACTTATCAGTGGTTCCAATTAGATGTACCTACTTATAAAAATATAAAATGACAACGTCAGTCTATGTTAGTAGTTCAGTACTATTACTGAACTACTAACATAGACTGACGTTACTACTAACATAGACTACGTAACTACTAACAGTTGTTACTGAATACTCAGTAACAACTATATTTTACGGCGTAGCTGGTTTAGTCGTAATCGACCTTTACATGTACACTGCTAAACATATTTTCGTCCGAAAGGTTTTAGCATTAATTACCAAGGCAAATATAATTTGAAATTATAAGCCTAGGTTTCCTCAGGATGTTTTTGTTCACCAACTTTCTTGCTCCAGAAAAGAGTGTGGAAGGTGCGAAAATTGTTCCACTGGAGCGATACCGCGGCATCCCAGAATACGTACCGGCAAGAAACATCGGAATAACAAAAATCAATCTACGTTTGTTTTTCACGCAACCATTCTGCGTGCCTTAAGTGGACATAAACCATAACTTGAGATGTTTGCTTCTCGTGGTTGTTCGGTTCAGCTTACGCTTTCAGGCAACAGACACCTCCCAAGTGTAACAATAAATTCCATCTCTGTTATTTAATAATAAAAGTAGGTATTGCCAAAGACTCAGTCAGCTCGTTTGCCGCCCTATGCCATAAAAAACGTTGCGAAATCACTAAAATAATAGATAAGTGTGGGACAGCCATGCTTCGGCACGAATGAGTCGGCTCGACCGGAGTAATACCACGGCCTCACAGAAAACAGGCGTGAAACAACCACAGCATTGTTTTTCGCCGTGTAAGTGAGGTTACCGTTAGGGAACCGAAATTTCAAAATCTGCAAATCCCGGATCCCTAAAAAGTCAGCAACGCACAAGTAACTCCTTCATTCTTGCGCTGATCACTTAGGTACTATGAGGTAATCCGTTTGCTCGTTGGCGTCCTATCGTGTAAAAAAGGGCAAAGTATTAAATGGTTACTTGTCTATCAGCAACTTCCTGCGCTCAAGAGGCTATTGTTAGAACCCTTTCTTTGATAATCGAACTTCCGGAATTCATACATCATTGTTAAATATTATTTCGACCAATTATTATGTTTAAATTATATCGTTTTATTTAAGATCTAATAACAAATATTTAAAAGATGTTTATTTATTTAATATCAATATTAAGTGGTATCGTCGTACGCACTACTTCCGGTTGTATCATTACATTTTATTTTAAAATATCATTCTATGCGGTTTCCGGTAAAGACAGATATTAAGTGGGGAGTAGTGCGCACGATAGCGGGACATTCGGGGTCGAACAGTCAAGGTGGACACAGTTCTTAAGTGCTTTGTGAAAAGTTATAATAAAAGCTTTGGCTGATACAAATTGGTTTTATTATTCCTGAGCGTTTATAGTTCAGAAGTGGGATAAAATCCAGATAGCGACTAATAATCGTCCTGGGTGAAAGATTCAACGCCTATAGAAGGTAATGCCAAACTTTTCTTTACTTATGATTAGCTTAAATAACGAGACCTTTAACGTTTGGCAAATAAATGGTTAATAACTTTCAAGCAAAACTGGTGCTTTAACATACATTTTTTTTTTTTTTAAGGCTTTTATTTAGTCATTCTGTTTTGTGTAATATTTAAAAGATTATTACTAATATTTTAGGAGGTAAAAGAACAATGACTTTTTGTAATTTATTTATTTCTAGCAACAATGACTGGCGAAAGAAAGTCTCGACGACGCAACAGGGAGTCTAGCTCGTCATCAAGTGGCTCTGAGCCTGCGGTGCGGAGACGTCGCACTTGCCGCGATCGTGACGAGTCAGGTGGATCGAGAACAAGCGCGTCGAGGAATCATCGTGCACGTCATAGCAACCCTGGTTCAAGGCGTCGGCGAGAATCGGCGCAGGTGCGTGGTGCGCTGCGGGTGCGTGATGCGTCGCGGGTGCGTGATGCGTCGCGGGTGCGTGATGCGTCGCGGGTGCGTGATGCGTCGCGGGTGCGTGATGCGTCGCCAGGTCAGGAGACGATTCACAGTCACGGAGCCTCATGGAATCGTGAGATGCCGCAAGGACATAATCAAGACATAGCTGGAGCATCATGTTCGGGCGCTACGCCAGCGGTAGTGGTGAGTCCTTTCCATTCTAATAAAGAATTAAATGCTAATACTAACGTTTTAGTTTCTGTTTTTAAAGAGCTCATGCAGACCATGAAAGCAGATGGGGGTAGTGAACGTTTTCCAGTTTTAAATGTTATACCGGAATTTGACCCTAGTAAACGAACTCAAACAGTAGAAACATGGATAAATAAAGTAAACGAGTGTTCTCAAATATATAATTGGACCGAAAGGCAAACTCTCCACTATGCTCTTCCTAAATTAGCGGGGTTGGCTCAGAAATGGTACCAAGGCCTACCTAGCATGTTGTTTTCATGGTCTGAATGGCAGAACAAATTGAAATTGGCATTTCCAAGTGACCAAAACTATGGTCAGCTATTAACGGAAATGCTAGCTTGTAAGGCTGAATTTGGCGAGTCCTTAGAAGAATATTTCTATCAAAAGGTTGTCTTGTTGAATCGGTGTAACATACACGGTAAAAATGCAATAGACTGTATTTTGTTTGGGATTGAAGATAGGTCCGTCAGAACAAGTGCAGAAGCCACACAATTCACGGAACCTGATAAATTATTAGTATATCTCAGAAATATAAGAACTACCAAGAAGTATAACAAGCCAAATTCATCCTTGCGGGTAGGCAACGCAGATAACAAACAATCTAAGACATTAAAAGGAACTCAAAATGAGCATGATGGGAACAATAGGAACTATAGGCTTACAAAATGCTATAATTGCGGTGAAGAGGGGCACCCATATTTCAAATGTAAACTACCAATCAAGCGCTGTGACAAATGTCGACAAGTAGGGCACTTAGCTGGTGGTTGTCCGGGCACCAAAGAATCTAATACTAATAATAAAACAGTTTTAAGAATTGCATCAGAACCCGATAGTGACTCTAAATATTTTAAAAGTGCCGTTGTTAATGGTTTAAATTTAGATTGTTTTATAGATTTTGGAAGTCAATGTTCCATGCTGCAGGAATCTGTGGCTAAGAATTTGGTTAGCTCATGGTCTATATCAGAACTACCGGTATTGAGAGGTTTTGGGGATAGTGTTGTAAATTGCTTAGGTAAATGCTATGTTGAGATAAAAATAGATTCAGTCATTGCTACGGTAGAAACTCTTATAGTACCTGATAAACTATTACAAGTTCCTCTACTCTTAGGACAAACATTCACGGAACAAGAACATATTGTTGTTGTAAAGACTAACAACCAGCTTAAAATAACCACGAATATAGCTAAAAACGTATTAGTGTATGTTGACAACTCGCTTATCATACATGGGTATACCCTAGTAACTATTCATACAAAACCAAAGTTTACTGGCAACTTATTTATAGAACCTAGTTTTTGCCAGGATACTCATAAACAGTACGAAATCATTCAAAGTGTAGTACAAGTAAATGATGGGCAGGGAACTGTTGTTGTTAAAGGCCTAAATTCTGGATTCAAATTGCTGAAAGATACTTTATTGCTCCGGGCTCTTCCATTAAGTGAATCACAGGCATTAAATGTTGGCAGAATAGAACATTGTCCCGATAATACTGTAACACCCCAAATTAAACCCTCCATGGTACAGATTGATGACGATATTGGATCTGAGCATAAGACCAAATTAATGGAACTGCTTAATGAGTTTAGGGACTGTTTTGCTTTTTCGGCAAAAGAACTAGGGTGTATAAGTGGTACAGAAATGAATATAAACCTTAGCGATACCACTCCTGTAGTATACAGACCTTATAGATTGTCGTATTCGGAAAGGCATGTAGTTCGTGACATGATTCAAGACTTAATTGACTCGGAAATAATTAGGCAGTCATCATCAAATTACGCATCCCCAATTGTATTAGTACGCAAAAAGAACGGTGACCACCGTCTCTGTATTGACTTTAGGGCACTTAACAAAAAGACCATAAAAGAACACTATCCAATGCCTCGTATAGATGATCAATTAGACAATCTATCAGGTCATAAATATTTTACTTCTCTCGATCTCGCCTCAGGATATTATCAGATTCCAATGGCGGAATCGGCAAAGCATCTAACAGCTTTTGTGACCCCAGACGGTCACTATGAATTTAATCGAATGCCGTTTGGACTAGTTAATGCGCCATCGACATTTCAAAGAGCTGTTAATAGTGTTTTGGGGAACGCGAGATTCAAGGAAGCATTTGCTTACATGGATGACGTAATTATACCATCTAGAACCATAGAAGAAGGGTTGCATAAATTACATGATATATTAAGTCTATTCCGATCTTCCGGCATCACACTAAATATATCAAAATGTAATTTTCTGAAACAATCCATAGATTATTTAGGTTTTGAGGTTAGTGCATCTGGAGTAAAACCAGGTAGTAAGAAAACCGAAGCCGTGGATCAATTTCCCAGACCAACAGATCAACATAAGGTCAGGCAATTTGTAGGGCTAGCGAGTTTCTTTCGTAAATTTATAAGAGGGTTTTCAATAATAGCAAAACCACTAACAAGACTCTTAAAAAAGGATTCAAAATGGCATTGGGGAGAAGCAGAAGAATCTGCATTCTTAAATCTAAAAACGGAATTAGTTAAACGACCTACTCTCTCGTTTTACAATCCCGAATTTGAAACACAGTTGCATACAGACGCGTCTAAAGTCGGCGTTGCTGGGATCTTAATGCAAAGACCAAATAAAGACGTTTCCTTTAGTGCCGTGGCATTTTACAGTAGACAGACATCCCCTGAGGAAGCCAAATTTACCTCCTACGACTTAGAGACGCTAGCTGTAGTGACGTCGCTTCAGAGATTTAGGGTTTATCTATTAGGGATTCATTTCACAATCGTTACCGATTGCAATTCACTACGTGCAACCTTTGAAAAGAGAGACATACTGCCTAGAGTTGCACGATGGTGGAGCACCATACAAGAATTTGACTTCGAAATAATTTATAAACCAGGCACAGGTATGACTCATGTAGACGCTCTGAGCCGAAACCCTATTCCATCAGAGATAATAGAGCTAGAAGTAAGACGAATTGATACAGATTGGGTGGCCACAGTACAACAAAACGATCCTGAGTTGCAAAGAATTATAGCTATATTAAATGATAAAGAAAATGACAATATTATAGACATTAAAAATAATTTTGTTGTGAAAAGGGGACTATTATACAGAAAAACAGATACTGGTGATCGTTGGGTTGTACCGAAAGGCGTTCGATGGCAAATTTTGAAGTCAAACCATGATGAAATTGGACATTTTGGTCTTGATAAAACTTTAGAAATAATTAAAAACAATTTTTGGTTTTCTAAGATGAGACGATTCACTAAAAAGTATGTCCAGTCATGTTTAGAATGTGCTCACTCCAAAATACCAACTGGAAAAAAGTCAGGCCAATTACATCCCATTGAGAAGGTTGAACAACCATTCCATACTATACACATTGATCATTTAGGTCCCTTTGTTCGAAGTAAGCACAAAAATGCATACTTATTGTTGATTGTTGATGCTTTCACGAAGTTTATGATAATTGTTCCTGTTAAAAGTACTAAATCTATCCATTCTATCAAGGCTATGAAAAATTATTTTCATACATTTAGTGTTCCAAAACGTGTTATTTCTGATAGAGGTACGTCATTTACTTCCAAAGCTTTTCGTGATTATTTAAGTTCATTAGGGATTAAACATGTCATGAACGCTGTAGCAACCCCGCGGGCCAATGGTCAGGTCGAACGTTATAATAGAAGTGTTTTAGCAGCATTAACCGCTTCCAATTATGGCAAACCTGAAAATGAATGGGATGAACATATTTCAGAAATTCAGTGGGGGTTTAATAATACACTAAATAAGGGTACCGGGAAAAGCCCTGCTCAGGCACTATTTGGGCTTAATTTAGTTAGTACCTCAAATGCATTATTACAGCTTAACGTTACGGACGATATTGAAAGTACAACCTCCTCGTTAGAGGAAACTAGGCAAGAAATCTCAGGGTATGTTAAGGAAAATCAAAAGAAACAAAAAGAACGTTTCGATAAGGCTAGGAAAGAAGTTAATTATAATGTGGGAGAACTTGTAAGGGTTGAAAGGGATATTCCATCAGTAGGACAAAGTAGGAAATTAGTTCCAAGACTTCGAGGTCCGTATCGTATAGCCGAGGTTCTCGATAACGACCGATACGTAATTGAGGATACGCCGTTATCTAAAAAGGGAAATAGAAAATTCAGTGGCATCTTTTCAGTAGATAAAATCCACCCCTGGGTAGTTTTTAATAGATCAGATTCAGAGTCTGAGACGTCGGATAATGACCACACAGATTAGGTGCGATTGATTGGTAGTGATACATACTATTATATTAACTTTAATCCTAAGACTATATCTGGGAATATGCCTGAGGTCCCAGGTAAGACAGGTGTTAAGGATATGTCTGAGGCCTTAACATCTTAAGTTGAGTTAAGTGGCTTATCTGGGAATATGTCTGAGGTCCCAGGTAAGACAGGTGTTAAGGATATGTCTGAGGCCTTAACATCTTAAGTTGAGTTAAGTGGCTTATCTGGGAATATGTCTGAGGTCCCAGGTAAGACAGGTGTTAAGGATATGTCTGAGGCCTTAACATCTTAAGTTGAGTTAAGTGGCTTATCTGGGAATATGTCTGAGGTCCCAGGTAAGACAGGTGTTAAGGATATGTCTGAGGCCTTAACATCTTAAGTTGAGTTAAGTGGCTTATCTGGGAATATGTCTGAGGTCCCAGGTAAGACAGGTGTTAAGGATATGTCTGAGGCCTTGACATCTTAAGTTGAGTTAAGTGGCTTATCTGGGAATATGTCTGAGGTCCCAGGTAAGACAGGTGTTAAGGATATGTCTGAGGCCTTGACATCTTAAGTTGAGTTAAGTGGCTTATCTGGGAATATGTCTGAGGTCCCAGCTAAGACAGGTGTTAAGGATATGTCTGAGGCCTTGACATCTTAAATTAAGTGGTTTATCTAGTTAAATAAGTATCGATCCAGTTGATTGTTATGAATATGATGTATTCTTAATAATTCAAGTGTTGTGTAAAAGTTAAGTAGAAATAAGAAAATGCAGAAATATTTTTATAGTTGATTTCATTACTTTATGTGAGAATTAATTTTCCCGAGACGGGAAATATGTCAGGAAAGGCCGACTGTTAGAACCCTTTCTTTGATAATCGAACTTCCGGAATTCATACATCATTGTTAAATATTATTTCGACCAATTATTATGTTTAAATTATATCGTTTTATTTAAGATCTAATAACAAATATTTAAAAGATGTTTATTTATTTAATATCAATATTAAGTGGTATCGTCGTACGCACTACTTCCGGTTGTATCATTACATTTTATTTTAAAATATCATTCTATGCGGTTTCCGGTAAAGACAGATATTAAGTGGGGAGTAGTGCGCACGATAGCGGGACATTCGGGGTCGAACAGTCAAGGTGGACACAGTTCTTAAGTGCTTTGTGAAAAGTTATAATAAAAGCTTTGGCTGATACAAATTGGTTTTATTATTCCTGAGCGTTTATACTATATTAACAAGTACATTCCGTACTGCTTTCTCTATCATTTGCAATCTACTTACATACTCCTATATCTACGCTTTACTCGAATGCTTTCTATAAATTGTACCTAAATAATATCTCGTGAGTGGTATATACCTACATGTCTATTCATAAAACTGGATGTTAGGTGCTTTGACGATATGATAACGTAGGTGCCCTAGAGTATGCTAGGTACTAGGTACCTATCACGAGAATGTAAGGGTGTGTTGCAATGTCCTATGACATCACACGTGCCATTCCAAAATTTAGTTTTTTTTCGGTGATTTCATTGTGGTGTAACATAATTTTTTGTCGCTTTTTTATCCTTAACTAAGAATATTCATACATGCGTAGCAATACCTATGTGCGCAAACCAGTTTAAGTTTTTCTAGGGGAGTAAACGTCCAAGCGGGTTCTTGTATGTTTATGATAAAGAAATAAACAGCAACAAATTAATGTAGAATGTTCTAGCTCAACCAGAGAATTCCGACGTGAAACAACATGTACTTGACGTTGTTTTGCAGAGAGAGTGAGGTTACCGGGGGCTCAAACCTCCCCCTACATTCTCATTCCAATATCCTCTCTTCCTATCTCTGTCCTTAACTACATACGAAAATCCAGAAACACACTCATAACTCTTTTGTTGTCATGGGTGTCGATAGGCGGCGCCACTAGTTACCATCAGGTTATCAATCTGCTAGTTTGTTGACCTAATGCTATGAATAGCTATGAATCTTTGACCCAGTGAGCATGTGCAGTGTAAGTACCTAGGAGACCTTATCTATAGGTGAAGTGTTTAACATGATTGCTTACCATCAGGTAATCCGAGGGCTTGTTTGCCGACCTATTACATAAAAATAAGGTAGGTAATGAAATATTAGAAAAAACATTCAACCATCCCAAGCCAACCATACTTAGTAACTTTCATATTTACAAAGTTAGTGGAATATTTGTTTTATGAAATGTAATATAAAATTATTATTCAAGGTTGAAAATGCTCAGACTGCCCAAAGAATCAGCAATTAAAAAAAACTTCCTGATAGTGAATCACAGGTAATTGTTTCTTTACACAGCCAGTAACAGGAAAAATATAATGAAATATAGTTTATTACCTCCACCGTAGGATGAGTCTTTGTTTTGTTGGTGCCATAAGACTTCCCCAGAAGACATCCATGAGTCCCCACCATCTCGCTCACATAACGAAACCTGAAGTGGTTTTGAGGTTGTTCCGTGATACGCAGACATGGTTTGTTGGCTACAAACAAAACAAAATTATTGAACAGGAAACACAACTCAAAAAAAACATTGTTTGAATGACATTATTCAATATTAAAAATTAATTATTAATATTTTGGTAGGAATTTAATAATTAATAATGTAAATAAGTAATAAAAAATAATTTAATTTTTGTATGGATAATTGGGTCTCCGGAAAAAATATTCACATGTCTAACCACAATCCAAGCTTTGTTTCACACTGGTATTCTGTGAAGCTCTGATATCATTCTGATAAAGCTGGCCCATTTGTGACAAAGCCTGGCTCTCCCACACTTAGCTTGCAAGCTTATCAGTTATATTATAAAAGAATTTTTAAGAAATTTTGATAAATGAATAAGCAAATGTTTTGTGACAGATAAAACATGACAATCTTTGTTTTCATTTATCTATAAGTGTCCTCCTGAGTGCCGCCCGGTTTTTTGTGTTATTTCACTGTATAAGCGAGATATATACTAAAATAGTTATATACTAAAAAACGTGTCAGCCCATTACGAAAAAAAAAGTTAATAACAATAAAATTATATATTTGTAAAATAAAGAAACTTAAACAGTGTACTATGCTTGCATGAATACATAAGGAATCTTATTTTATATCCTGTTTATAATTACAACTAAGCAATATTTTATAGACAAGCAATTTTTGTTTACATAAGTAGGTACTTAATGTAACTTATCTAAGCACTTTAATGAAATATGTATGTTTAGGGTTTTAGACATAAAAAATAAGTCTAACTAGGTTTCATTATCAAAAAAGAAATATTACTAGCAATTTATGTTCATCCCAGTACTAATGTTTGCAAGTCCATCAAAATAAGTATGTGCATGTGCATTGCATCATCAACATTTTACTTTTATTCGTTATCCACTAGCAACCCACCCTAATTTCAAATGGATGCAATGTGCATGCAAAACTTCTGGATATAAGTACAGAATATCTTTCTTTGTTTTGTATGATATAGTAGTAATTTTCCTCAACATCCTTGAAATCATAAGTCCCTGTTTAAAATATAATAGTTTAAAAAATGTTGGCCGGGTAACATGATATTAAGACTTCAAATCAGCAATTTCAGCACAAATTCTTGTGTTCATTCCATTTAACAAAGTTACATCCCACTATGAAACAAAGTTGTATCCCTATATGCTTAGTTCTTTAAAACAATATGCAAGACAGATTCGGTATTGGGTTTTTTCTAAAGAAAGAGGTGATTAAAGAGGATTGTTTAGGTGTACAATTTATTAAGGTTAGTCTCGGACAAAGTCGCGGGTAGGAAGCTAGTATTAGGTATTAATAATTATGTAGTAAATTTTATCATACTTATAGGTATGTTATGTATGTAAGCATTTCTTACTATCATCATAAGTTCAAGGTACGTAGTATTAGAATTACTTATCAATGACTTTCATTCTGTATAGGTACTCTAAGAAAGGTACTTTAGAAATCATTGCACTTACCTTGTCTGAGAAATTGTCTTTTATTGTCTGCGCAAGTTAACTCAGTAAGATCAGAAGCTAGTTGAGGAACTTGTTGGGATGGAGAACTGTGCGGGGAGTATCGAATCGAATAAGACATTGGAGAGTTGGATGAATCGCTCATATCGTGATCACTCGTGCTTGTAGACATTTTCACTGTTTACTGCACTTAAACACAGTAAAATCCATGAAATCCTTAACGTTCACATATAAAATGTATTAGGTAATACCATTAACTTGCACTTAACACCACAATATTTATTTTTGCTAAATAGTTTGAACTAGAATTCACTAAAAATATACGACGCACATAGCACACAGGTACTGCAAAAACTGCAAAATGGTAAGACATTGAATGTTTATCAATTATCGTTTGTTTGACAGTAGTGAATGTTGCCAAATGATGAATAATATTGTCCTCATTTTAACCTTCTAAAAGACGTTGAAAAGTGTGATGCGTTCCATAATAGTAATACTCATATTCAATCATTCTTAAATAAAAGGAAAGTTAGCTTTGTCCAATAAGGCAACACAACAACTGAGAAGGCTAAGGTTTGATGGTTGAGTCAAGAATCTGATCTACACTGCAATGCTTCTGGACACCATATTGTACTGGAAATTCTTTTTTCTGGGACCTTGATTTCCACTGGCTCGGACCTCTCCTTATATCTGTAGCGACTGCTTTTAATATTTCTAAATGTTTTTTTTTTTGTCTTATTTAAAAAATATTATATATGTATAAATTGGTGCAAAAAGGTATAAAGGGAATAACCATAGTTATTTTCCCTTTTATTGTTAGTAATTACTTTAAATTGTCTTTTATTTATTGAGATAAAAAATGATTTGGAATGATCGTTTTTTTTTTTATTAAATGCGATAGGTGCGTTGTAATTTTTTTCCACTAAAACAGGGAAATTTTGTTGAGCTGGTATGACGTTGCATTGAAACGTTGACGTTATCAAACCGGGGAAGAACCAAATGAGTGAGTCACAAAAAGTCCCCGAGTAGGTACTTATTATTAGAATGTGTGTATGCAAGTATGATAGGTACCTATGTATGAATATGTGTATATACTCGTATGTATGATAGGTCTTAAGTAGGTAGTATGAGCACGTAGCCGCCAACTTGTTTTCGTTTCGTTAGATAGGCATATTAATACAAGATTCGGCACAACAGCTCTCTCTAACGAGGTTTTACAAAAACCCTTTCCAAGAACAGAATTTTGTTATATGTAGGTGGTTAGGAATAAGTTTTAACAAGTTTAATCATCTGCAGATCTACGATAGATACCTAGTTTTATATGATAATGATATTTCAGTGTAAGTACTAATGGCCAGGCAACGGAAGTAAATTTGAAAAAGTAATATTTTTAAATTAATTATACCAACAGTAGGCAGGTTACAGAGTTATAAAAATGGGTTAAGTTGGCTAACTCGAGAATGTTGCCTGATATAATGTTTTGGCAATAGGCTAGTCCCTATTATGGCAATGGGATTTTTGTTTATCAGCTGGCGCTAATCTAGCTAGTAAGCGGTTAGTTTGCCCAATATTGTAGACCTGTCAAAAATTTAGCTATCAAAGGTTTCACGAATAACGAGAGGCGCACCCTAGCTAGAAATTAAGCTTCGAATCAAGCGTTATTTCACTTTATTCTAATTAATGTTTAGTACTTAGTATTAATGAGGTTATCGAAGGTCTAATCCCTTCTCCTTTTCCATCCCTAATCCTCAAAACCTTAATTCTAATAGGCCGGCAACGTGAGCAACGGCCTTGTTACTGCTTGATGTTGAAGGTGTCCACGGATGGCGCAGATTAGGTATTTACTTTCAACTAATTTAATCAGGAGATCCATCTGCTCGCTTGCCGACCTATTATAAATGGTGGCATTTAGAACGAAGGACATATTCAAGGAGCCTATTTTGGTCGTCAATTACAACAACTTTTTCCATGGGACCAATACTGAAATCTCTCTTCTATTCTTCTAGTGAAAGAATTTTGGTAATCCGACCAGCGGTTCTAAAGATTACCCCCAACATACAAACTTACAAATTTTACCTTTTTATAATATTAGTAAAGATTTGGGATATAAGTAGTAATGCTTCGTTCTTTGGGGAATGAAAGGCATGATTATAAGCTGTTATATATATCAAATGTTGGATAATTGAATGCGTTCTTTACAGATATGTACAGTTTTTGCTGTCGGGCAATATTGCTTTAAAAATTGCAAATTACATTGAAAAAAGGAAACGTATATGCTTTATAGATACAGGAATATGCACGGTGATGTTTTCAACCTTTATTTTGATGTACGAAATAGCGAAGAAGTCTTTTACGATTATTTGTCCATGTCAAACGAAACATTTGACTAAATCTGCGCCCCTCGCGCGTCGACACATCGCAGGCAACCGATTAGGACACGATCAAACCTCAGAAGACAGAACAAACCAGAAGGCGTCATCGCGCTTCAAACTGATCAACTAAAACCATTCTCAACTAGAATAGTATGATATTTCTACGATCAGTCAATTTTGGCACGTGGCATGTCGTGACGTATTTACAAGTATCAATTTTAATTTCATTATGCCGTCTTGTGTTATTACTACGAGTAAAAATGCGACTGGAATTTCGAAAAAAGTGGATAAGATTACATTTCATCTGTAATCATCGACTGCAATAGTATTTTTAATTAATTATTGAATTTTTTTTATCGATTTATTTTTCTATGAAAATGATGCGGCCATTTTGACAGTGTTGTCATTTTTGGTGAAATTTTTACCCACTTATTTATTTGTTGTGGGTTATATTTCTGTCCATTATGGAGCCTATGTCATATTAGTTTCCCTGACAAAAAAATAAATACAAATCATACAAAGGGCACGGTTAGATTAATTTTGGAAACCATCTGGCCAGAGCATAGTTTGCTCAATTCACTTTGAAGAGATATATTTATGACAAAGGTGGTTTGAAAACAGCATATCCTACTAAGATATATCTATACTAATTATAATGCTGAAGAGTTTGTTTGTTTGCTAGAATGCGCTAATCTCAGGAACTAAGTAAAGTTAGTAGACTTCTAATCTTTAGTTCCGAGTCTAAAGACAATACATATAAAAAACTAAACCAGCAGAAGGGAACGCAATAAAACCTTTGTACTTATTGAAGCTTTATTTTATTTGTTGTGTATAGTAGGTGTAACTAAAATTAACAAATCCAGAAATCGTCAAGTTTTATGATACCTCTATGAAATGTGTGAACAACTAGTCTGTTGCATTTATCGTAAGTTTACCTATTTTGTTGGGTTTACTCGTATCTTACCCTCCTGTTGTAAAATTACCCCAAACCAAGGGAATTGTTCCACTGTCGGCAACACTACGTGGGTGGGAAGTGCGGCTGGCGGGGGGATTGACGTATTGTTTTTGGACACATTTGACGACATGTAATTATGAGTGAACGCGGATTCTGGTTTGTTCTGTATTCTGAGGATCAAACACATCGTACGATCGTATTTAAGCATTTCATGTGCTCGCACGATCACTTGCGAGGTTCAAATAGAACACTGATGAAATCTGTATGTTTGAACTCATCGCACAACGAGAACTCATCGCGCTATGGATCGCTCCCAATTAGGACGACGCCTAAGCCTGTCAGCCGGGAATCACTTGTCAGAGACTAATATTAGGTATATGTATAGGTATGTGGTCAGATTTAGGTTCAAGTAAATAAAACTGAAGTGCACGTTGTATATCAAAGATTAACATTTTTATTCTAAAAATACATTTCCAATTTCCATACATTTCACCAAACAAGCAAAAGGAATAAAAAAGTATAATATCTTAAAAAAAACAGAATATATTGTTGTATGGAATGATTTCATCACTGATTTGTATCACTCTAATATGATAGTTAACAAATAATAATCTTAACTTTATAGCAACTTCAACCTTATATCTAGTTTGTTAAAGTATACATTTCATCAAATCTGATACAAAAAAGATAATGTTGTTGATTTACAATCAATAAATGTTTTTATAAATATAAACATCGCTATTTTTAAATAGTATATTTTTGCTATGTATACGTCAGTATCACGATATTCGAGAAAATATTCAAAATAACATTTCATGGCATTACAGTACATATATGCAAAGATTGCACCTCCTAAAGTAGTAATCAACAATGTCACTTATAACTTAAAGGTAAGATATAAAACCGTTTCAAATCTCATCTTGACCATGCATAATGTTTCAAAATATGTCGACCTATTTACATATTAGCGATTCCTAAATCGCCTGCAAAAAGTGTAGATAGTCCCCCTCGATCCCTCGATAGTCCCTTATATAAATAAGTATGTTCTGTCGACAATTACATAGATCAGCATAATCAGAATTGACATAGATCCAGTTTTACACCAGCCTCAAATGTTTCATTTGTACATTAATGGTGGAAGAGTCTAAGATTGGTGTGTGCAAGCACAATTTTGTGCTCATTGCAAGCCTCAATCACTTCTTGGTCGTTGTTCGAGCCTGATGGACTGCCAATGTATTCAACTCCACACTGTAATATAAATATACTGATGTACATTACAGAAATTAAATCCGATTAAAATAAATTGGCATAGAAATGAAGGAAAATAGTTAACCATTTTTTTTCTAAGACAGTTCAATAAATGTGATATATAAATATATACATCTGGACTGTTACTGTTAACGATTGTTACTGAATTACGCTAGAAGGGTGGAAAGAAAAGGACATAGAGAAATACTAAAACCTTCTACAAAATAAAAATAGGTTATTTTCTTTCTCATTAGTTGTAATAAGGGTAATTTTTAACACCAGTACTTATGCAAGTAAAGTAAAGTTTGTTACTGACCTGCACAGCTCGGTCGATGTTGTCGCGGAATGGGAAGAAAGCATCCGAAGCGAGAGCCACGCGGTCCATTTTACTGACCCATTCGGTACGTTCCTGCTCAGTCAGTAAGGCGGGAGCTGGCCCGTCGAATAACGTGTTAAATTGCTCCAAAGGCAGATCAGAACCTGAATTTATAAGAATAAATTTTTATTAATTATCATACTTAAAATTGCTACCAAAGCTAATATTTGTTTAAATGACACCATATTACTAATATTATAAATGTAAATGTTTGTAAGGTGCGACCGGTGTGATACCACGGCCTTGGCAGCGTGAAACAATGCTTTCGCCAGCAAAACCAAGGCCCAATATCGATAAAAAAACCCCGTGGAGCTAATTGATAGATATACATATATTATACACTAACCGACAGTGCCATTAACGTAGTTGTCGATAGCATTAGATTGCACAGCACGGGTGACTCCTTGCTTGAACTTCATGGCGAGGACTCGCGGGTGACGCCTCATCCACCACAGCGCCGCCTTGCCGCCCGCCAGCCGAGTGCAGTGGATACGGGACTGTTGGCCCGCACCAATACCTACAACCTGTAAATTAAATACAATATTCACTACCACTCCTGTTTGTGAGTATTCTGTTATAATTTCTGCCCCGAAAAACTACAAAACAATAGTTTTGTTAGGCCTAGCCTACAATAACAAGACTAATTTAAACTGGCAACCCAAACCTTTTAAGAGATAGCATTGGTTATATATTTAACATGTGATAGTTCACATTAGTTTTTTTGTTGAGGAGAAAATCATCAAATCATTTCTCCGGCCCAGAGTCGGGTGAGGTGGGAGGGAGTATCAGACTCTTACTGAGTAAACCCCCTCCCCCATTCCTTCTTCTGCGGCCGAGGCCGTGGAGTCTCATTGCGCTTACCCCGTAACCACGTAGGCTTTGTTTAATATTGTAATGTTTCAGTGTAATTAGCCAGGCGAGAGGTTAATGAAAACCTTGTAATGTAGAGTAGTTCTGTTCTGATTCTGATGTTTTGTCACGAGTGCCAAAAGCCAGTTTGCTTAACGTTAGCAAAATCGAAACGTTTGTGACGTTCGGCGCCCTGATCGGCCTACCTACTCTACACACGAAAACCATCCAACCAGTATGTTTACGATATATATTACTTGTATGTATATCTAATATCTTACCTGTCCATCTCTTGCAAAGCAGACAGAATTACTCTGGGTGTATTTCAAAGCAATTGTAGCCACAATGAGATCTCTGACGGCATTCTCAGGTAGTGTATTGTTCTTAGTAACAACATTCTTGAACAAGTCTCCTGTAATCTTAGCATCGTTGCGTCTTTGTTCTAAAGTGAGACCGAAGATAGTCTTCTGTTCCATTAGGTCTGGCTCGTAACTGGAGTCCATCTGGAAGATTTTAATTTTGTTTAATTATTATTAAATTATTGCTTTCAAATAAAACTAATCCTGTTAAAAGGGTTAGGAAAAACTAAAACAAAAGTAGTCAGCAATTAAATAATAAATTTTCTAAGCAGTAACAGTAACACAAGTGTGGAAGAGCCAAGCTTCGACACCAACAGTTCGGCTCGACCGGAATGATACCACGGCCTTAGCTTTGTGTTTCACTGTGTGAGTTAGTTAGAGGAGGTTACCGGAGGCTAAATCCCTACCCCTCCCCTATCCCTTCTGAATCCTTAAATATCCGCAACCCTTATTCCAAAAGGCCGGCAAAGCACTTGTAACTCCTTGGTGTTGCGGGTGCCCATGGACGGCGCTGATTGCTTGCCATCAGGTAATCCGTCAGCTCGTATGCCGACTTATGCTATATTAGAAACTGCATAGAATTATAAGCTAATTTACCTGCAAAACGCAGTAACTACCACCCTTCTTCTTTTTAAGTATTTCCAATGCTTCTGGGGTATATCCGGGTGCGACGATTCCGTCAGAAACCTCTCGTGAGATGATACGGGCGGTGATGGCGTCGCATTCGTCCGATATCGCTACGAAGTCGCCGAATGAACTCATACGGTCAGCTCCACGAGCGCGTGCGTAAGCGCAGGCTACTGGTGTCAAGTTCGGGAGAAGGTCGGCCACCATACATACAGATGCCTGAAAAGATGTCATGGCTATAGATTTCATTCTTTTTTTTATTCATATCAAGCCTTTAAGACTTTTTCTAAGTTTGCGCTATAATAAAAAAGAGCATAGTCTCATCAGAAATTTGTTATGTCAAGTTGTTATCCAATCCGAATTAAAATTATATTTTATTTGATTTAAAAGAAACAATCTAACTAACTAAACCTTTCTTATTATTGTTTTTCATTACTGAAGTAACTATATACTTAGTAATTATAAATTGTAATTTAAAATAATAATTTACCTCTTCTTGACTCAAAGGCAATCCAACAGCGGCTCCAGCGGGCGAAACGTGTTTGAAGCTGGTGGCTGCAGGCAAGCCAAGAGCTTCCTTCAGTTCCTTCACTAACTGCCACGCATTGAGCGCATCACACAAGTTGATGAAGCCCGGAGAACCGTTCAGAGTTGTCAGAGGCAGCTTGTCACGGGTCGTAAACACTTGAGCTGGTTTCTGGTGAGGGTTCATACCTGGGAATCAAGTATTTTACACATGTTATTTTATTTGGAGATAAAATATTTTTTTTTTACTTGCAATAAACTAGTGCTTGACTGCGATCCCACCTGATGGTAAGCAGTGATGCAATCGTTGATGGTAAGGCGCACTAGTTTTTTGAGAGCCTATTCACTCTAGCCTTGTATTTTCATGGAATAAGTTTTATAATATTCCATAACGGCGAAAAAGGCCATTTATAAGCAAACTAAACTAGCTTTTGCCCGCGACATACGTGTGGGATAGTGACTTCCTGCAGATTTGTATTTACCAAATTTCACAGAAATCGGTTCAGCAGTTTAGGCGTGAAGAAAAAACAAACAGACAGACAAAGTGACTTTCGCATTTGTAATGTAAGTTTGGATTAAAAACAGTAATATTTGCTTACCATATCTCAAGGTCAGTTGTGACTGTCCGGCAGAATACTGCCTACGGAAATAGTCCGTGATAGCGAGATCATACTCCGATGTATGTGTAAAAGCCTTAAGAGCAAGGCGCTTCCTATAAAGAGAATAAAACATAATTATTTCTGAAGAAACCAGCTACAACAAATCTTAAATTAAGTATATTGACTAATCTATAAATTAAAGTACATATTATAAAACTGTAATTTTAGTTATAATACATTTTATTGAAAGTCAATTTAATTTATTTTTGATAGATATATTATGTATTTATATTATGTACAAAAATAGTAGATAGTCTACGAATCTATTCTGGTCCTAATTGCAAGTTAGAGCTGATATGACATACAGTTTTTTAATACAGATAATCTGACTCTACCAATAGCTCACGACATAAAACTAAATATATCGTCAAATCAATGAATGAGTACGTATGTTTATAAATATTTGAATAATGCCTTGTATTAAAAAGTCAAAATAAGTAATATTTCACGAAGTAAAAAATAAATGCAGTAAGTATCTAACTACCCAATTCTACACATACTTACACACATACATATACAAAAAAATAGCAGATAGTTTAGAAATGTTTACCTGGTACTTCCCTGATTGCAAGTAAGACCTGGATAATGACATACGGTTTTAAAATAAAGATTACTTTCTTTCTTCTTACTTAATATGTAGAATGCAAGGGAGAAAGGAGAAACTCAAGGAAGTCTAGCTAACTCCCGCGATTAATGACCAAAACGGTAAGTAGTTGAAAACTTTAATATTTTCATGAAATGACACAAATAAGAGATTTATATGAAGCCGTAATTCATGACAACATTCTCTTATTAAATAATTAATTTCATATGCATTTTTAATTTCTTAAAACATCAATATTATTAATTTCAGGTTGTTGTTAAAATTCGAAATATATTTTTTTATCAGAGGAAAATTATCATAATTTATGACGGAAGCAAAAACCCATAGTTATTCATTTTTGAAAATCCATCTGAAGAAAACCTGGTTGTCCTTAAAATGAGACACAAATTGTTACAGTGGGGACTGTAACAATTTCAATTATTATGCGCATAGTTTTGTCAAATGGGCCCCGATGTTTATTGCTGCAATTAATGCGAAGAAAGGCGAAAAAATTAGTGAGGCGTAGCAAAGAATATGTACTTCAGATTACGCAAAAAGGCTGAATTTGAATAATTTTGGTCATAGTTGCAATTAACACAATAGATGTCCAACTTCAAGGGCTCTCAGTATCGAGATTACCTATTAAACATGTTTAATGTTTTTGTTTGTGACAGAGCAGTCATAATTAGATTTTTCGGATGGCAATTATTGATAGAATTAATTATTATTAGCCCCTGTTTTCAACAATAAAAGTCAAACGATAAACATCTTATCGCATGTCTATGTAGGTACAAAGGTATACAAAGAATATACTATTAACCGGTATTCTGTAGTTATTTTGAATATTAACAAATAAAGAGATTGTCGTCTATTCTTCTTCAATTCTGTCATTGGAAAATGGCAATCTTTTCCCATTCAAAATTTAATATACCTAAAAAAGAAGGTTGACTTACCTAGTATCCAAAGAGGTCTGATGGCCATTGCTCTGCTTTAGTTCTTGCATGACTGCATCGTAGTCATTAGGATCACAGATAATAGTCACTCTGTCATGGTTCTTAGCTGCCGCACGGAGTAAGGTAACACCTCCAATGTCTATGTTCTCAACGGCATCAGCGATAGTAACTCCGGGTTTTGACACAGTTTGAACGAAGGGATATAAGTTGCATACGACAACGCTAATCATGTCGAAGTTCTGACGTTTCATGTCCTCCTGGTCTGATGGGATGGCCCTGGAAGAAATATGAACATTGGAGAATGTAGGTAGGTACTTTAAGAAAATAAAGTTTTCTGGAGCAAGTAGGTTTGCTTTTATTTCTTTGCAGTAACATTGTATAATAACCTTCTTGCAACTTAGTTACTTCACATGTTACCAATAAGTTCAGATTCATAAGGTATGCCAATGGTACCACCATTGCGTGTGTCTGAAATCCTTATCCTTCGATGCCATACACATAGACATTAGGATAGAGGGTGACTGGTAATTCATGGCCGATATTTAAACACGTTTTTGTACTCATGATAACAAACAACTTTCCTAAAGAAAGTGTTTCTATACTTATTAGTTTCATTACTGCGAAAAGCAAAATTACTGTGAAAAGTTCAAACGAGGTCGCGCGGGGCCTCGCCGCTGCTGACAGCTGATCGGGCGATGCACAGTGGATGCACGAAGTTTGTTATAAGTAAGTAGGTAAGTGTTTTTTTGGTCTCTTATTATCAGCCACCCTATATACTTATACCATGTAGTATGAGGCAAACCGAAAACTTAACCGATCTGAGAACCGACCACAGATTGGCTCGGAACGCGAGTTCATTAACACTGGGCCAATCAACCGGTCAAAATAAGTAGGTACCTACTAATTGTATAGGTATTGGTATACATATCTATCTATGTAGGTACTTATATCAATACTATTGAATGTTAATTATTGAATTTAGATGTTTTGTACGCTTACCTAGACAGAATACCAGCGTGAACAGCAGGGTGCAGGGTCTTTACACGGCCTCCAAGCATTTCAGGTGCCTTGGTAATGTCCGAAACTTCGGTTACGGGGAGGCCAGCATTGCGAATGGCTGTAGCTGTACCACCGCTGGCAACGAGCCCCAGCCCAATCTCTGACAAGCATTTTGCTAAAGGCAATAAGCCTGTCTTATCCGACACGCTTAGAAGAGCTGTGGACAAAGTATTCATTATTGAAGACAAAATCTATTCAAGGCCAAGACAATCAATTCTTCAATCGCGTGTACTTTTTTATCACTTTAGTATTTGACCTTAACCGAACTAACCAATTTATTGATTGCTAACTGATTGCCAATAGTAAAAGAATATTAATCAAAAACTTAGGTTTTTTATGGTACTATCAAGACCGCACTCTTTGTGTCACGTAAGAATGAGAAATTGTAGGTAAGTCTGTCAAGGTACATAAGACCTAGGAGAAAATCCAAGTGTGAGTGAAACTTAAAAGTGAAGATATAAGACGAACCTACTTTAAATGGTTAAAAGATTAAAAAAATATATATTATAGTACATAAATATTATTTTTAAAACTTACCCAGTTTTCCATTAGCAGCCATTATGTGTGTTTCTTATGAATAACTTGACTGTAATGACGAAAATGATAATTGTTCTCAGTGAGCTTATATTAGCTGCGTCCACTTGACCTTACGCAGGGGTCCTGATAACAACACAATCTTGTTTACCAGAGATATAGGGTTGTCAATCGAAATATAAGTAGTTACAACAGTAGTTTGATATACAACTGATCTAAACAACTAATCATTGACATAACATTCAGTTCATGTAACCAATCCAGAGGCCAAATAACACCGCGTGCATTAAGACCGTGCTCGTGAAGAACTGAATATCATCATAACTTGTTAAATACTTACGGGATTCTAGTGAAACTTCACATACATTTGAAGGCAGTTACAAGCTTTAAAATTACGTTTAAAGTAAGTCTTTAGTCTTCTTATTGAGAGTGCTGGGGCCAATTGAAGTGTTTTTCTATTTAATGAAAAAACGTTTAAAATATGCATTATTTTGGTTTTGTTAATGCACAACAAATTTAAACTAAGTCCTCGGAAGTCGTGTACAAAATATGATAAGAATCCTCTTAACCATTTCAAAGATCTAGCAAAACCAAAAACGTTACCGCAGCAAAATCTCGAATAACTTCGCAACCGAAGAAAGAACAAATACAAAATAAGGCACAACATTTACTTTATCTAGACAACTAATTTTATAGCTAATATTTATTTAAATATTCCCATTAGAAAGAAAAAGGTCTGGCTGTGGTAACGTTACGCCAGCAGGAAATGTTTTTGTGAAATAATTAAAAAACTATAAGCGCAACAAATTTAAAAATGTGCGCAACAATTACAGAAGCCCCACAACTAATTATCTATAAGATTCAAATGACCATTGTCGACAACATCTGGCCTGGGTAACGGACACACTTTAACCTTAATGTTCAAAAAAATCTACTTTGAAGACAAAATTTATCACGACATAAAATTGACAGCTTATTTATTTTATATATTTAGTTGAGAATACAACTGTATGTTGAGAATCCAAACTATAATATTATAAATGCGAAAGTAACTCTGTCTGTCTTTTCTTCACATTTAAACTACTGAACCTATTTGTGTGAAATTTGGTACAGACATAGTTTGGAACTCAAGAAAGGACAAAGGATAGTTTTTAAACCAAAAATCTGCATGGAGGCAATATTCCCCGCGAACAAAGTCGCGGGCAAAAGCTAGTCTATACTAATACAAGCCGCTTCGCACGGGTCCAACTATCTCGCTATCGAACGGTCACTTTTTCCTAACCTTCCCCTCTACTTTTCTAATATTTTCTTTGATAAGAACCTTCTCCTGACAATAACAAGCACAACAAAAAAAGAATTAGCAAAATTGGTCCAGGCGTTGAGTTTTGCGCTTACCAACACATTTTGCGACTTATAATAGTCATAATATGGTAGTTTCCAACTAGTCAAATTCAATACTTTTATCCAAACGTCAAAAACGATACTTTTCTATGAAATTTGTATGAAAAACTGAGCTATGACGTCATAACATTTTTGCGTCAAATAGCTTACTTATTTCACAATAATTCGCTAAAAAAATCTTAAACTTGGTGTATCGATCGATCGATGAATAAAAGTATAGTTATTTTTCAATATTTTATTGTATTGAAACATCGAATTAATTTATTTTTGACCTTGGAAACTACCCAATTATAGACAAACATAAGATTATAAAAAGGTATTTGTAAGTTTGTATGTAGGGGAAAATCTTTGGAACTGCCGGTCCTATTGGCAAAATTCTTTCACTGATAGATAGCTACAATGTCCCTGGGTGCTATAGGCTATAATACATCAAGCTACGATCAAATGGAGACAAGCAGCGGGTGAAACCGTGTGAAAGTAGCTAGTTTTTAAATAATTAAGAAGTGGCAACCCTATTTGTAATCATTATTGTGATGTAAATAACTAAAGTTATTGCTCTGCGATAGTGACAACAACTGAAAATGAACAAACAAAACTTTCGATGTCTCTACGTAAATGTTCTTACGTAGATTAAAGATTTATCTTTATATTATTTTATAAAAAACAAAAATATGATAAGTTTGCTTTTTGTTATTTACAATGAAAGGAGAACTTGAACTCATCTTTTGTACCCTCCATAATAATATGATAAAAAGTTTACTCAGAAACAAATGGATGATTTTTGATTATCTTAAGTATAAAAAGGACAAGTATGATTTATACTTGTATGTTTTTTACAGCACAGAAGCAAGGACACATTGTAATAATATAAATGCTACAATATATTAAAGTATTACTTGATTTTAGTTGAAATTGTTCCATGGCTCTTTATGATATAAAACTGAATATCGTTACAATGAAAAATAATAAAAAATAATGATATAATGAGTTCCAATCAATAGCATAAGACTGTGCAAGCTACAAAATGCAAATTTATTAAGTTAAAGCCAGTTCTTGCCATTGTCAAGTTAAAATGTGAAATTAGAATTAAAACAAATTAGTTATGCTAATTGTTTAAATGCAGAAATAACATACATAATATATAACACAGTATTTTTCAAATTTAACACAATACATCAGTTTTATTAAATTTTATTTTTTATACACTCTGACCATAAACTTATTTATTTAGTAAATTAAATAATTATAGATAGTATGGTTTCGAACAATTAATTAGATGTGTAAAAAAAAACTCTGGTTTTAATATTAAATAGTAATTTATTACACATACCCAGGTAGAAACTACTAAAATAATGATTTTATAAAATTTCATTATTATCATCAAATATGTTTTATAGTTGCCTGCCTTACTCCCTACTAATTGTTATGTCTACTTCAATGTAGGTAAGCCTTAACAGTTAATGTTTTAGTATCTTGGCAAATTAATGCCCGATTAATGTAAAGTGTCATTTATATTTTTCAAACCCAAGGTTACAAGGTTTTTGTGCTCACAATATTTTTTAGCACCTTTGTAGATTACCAGCATGATGGCAAATACTACTAGTATAGATTGTATTATGGTTTGAATTGTAAATATATTTATTTATCCGATGTAAAGTAAATAAATGAGATTATTACAAAATCAATCATTAAAAAAATGTAGGTGAGTAAGAAGGTCTAAGGCTACCCACTAACCATTTGTTCTTTATAAAAACTTGAAAGGTTATGCTTTCAAAATCACATGTTGTGCTTAATTAACTTTAACGTAACCAACAGCCTCAAATAGTTTAAATTACTTTTAAGTAAATTTTGTGTATTCCACCGACATAGATTTGAATAATGTTATGAAACTTGCCTTAGAATGGGTTGGAATACTAAGATAATAACCACAAACGATTTAGAACAGAGAGCGAAGTGAATATCTTGATTTAATTCAACAAAACAAATATCGATCCGACCGAACCGGTTGCCTATCAACTTTGTCACAGTTGTCACTAATGTCACTTGTCATACTTCTCAGTAGTCTGACATCTGACACATAAATATAGAAAATATATAGAGGCGCCGTGTTACTATAGAAGTATACATGCTTATACAAATATGAGGGAAATATGAAACAAACTATGAAATATCATTTTTTCTCACTCTTTCTAAGGCGATAATTGTATTAGACAAAAGAGACAACAATATTTAAGTTGTTGCTTAATATGGAAACAAATCATTTTGACATTAGCAAAGTTGTAGGTAAGTGCCATGTCCGCCATCTTAAGCGCTCAGAGTAACTGAGTTTCAGGGTAGTTGTCCTGTCAAACGGTTGTTTATGTTTTAAATTATTGCGGTTTTTCAGTAAATTACAAAGAACCATTTTTTTAAACTTCAAATATATATAGTGAAACAAAAAAACAATATGCCTGTGTGTTGTATTGTGCAGTGTGGTACAAAAAAGAACGAAAATCAACCTCAATTGTCTTTGTATAGGTTAGTAAACAGTTTTCATCAAATATTACTTAGAATAATCCACATAGATAGAAAAAAATGTCACGGATACTTTAATCTATTGCCAAAGTATATATATTTACTTTTATTTCTGTCTGTGAGACAGTTTTAGTAAAAAATTGTTGTTTACAATAGTATGTCAATATGGCATAGTTACGTACCATTTCACAAAAGTATCGATATAATCTCCCATTTAAAATTCAACATATATTATACTAAATAATTTATTTTAACAATGGATGTTTCCGCAGTTTTGTGTAACGCTAAAGTAAGACGTCAGTATTTTGGTATTGGTTTTAGTTACATAAGTAGAAGTTCAAATTATCATGTTTTATAATTATACGGGCGCGATTGACAGAGCGGCGTTGGCGACGATCCCAGTGCGACCACCAAGCGTAATAATAAAAAGTGAGATACATACAATAAGATTGACTTCACTACATATCTATTTTGTGCTAACGTAGTTTCGAAGATATCATCGCTTAATCAGACGCGCCGAAATTGTGCGCGAGCACTTTACAAATACCCACAGGTTTTCCACATATATAAAGATAAACATTTAACAAACACTATCTTTTTCTATTTCACCATTCCATTAAACGCTGTTCATGAACACAGTCCTATTTTTTTAAAAGACGCTTTACGTAGAATTATATGAATACAAATTCGACTTGAGAAAATCATTAGCCAATCAAGAGACCAAGTTAACCCCGGGTTCCGGGTTCTAGCTAGGCCGACGGCAAAGTAGGAACAGGAGTTGATTTTAGTCAGTAACGGTCTGTCCCGAAAAAGGCCGGAGATGACATTAGATGATTTCCCATAAAAAAATACCGTTAATAAGCTGGCTAATCCCTAAAACTATACCTACGTAGAACTTTTACTCAAATTGTATCGATACTCGTTAAATACTTAGTCGGCACAACCCTAGCAACGGCAGCCATCTTATGCGACATTTTGGATTGTAGGTAGGCACCTTCCTTTCGTAGGTATTTCAAGTCCATATATTTCCTATGTCAATGATCTGACAACATTTACGTTTTATTCCACCACGGAATTTTAAAAAAATCCACGGCTACTGTCCATTTCTTAATTGATTATTTGTGGCGATTTACCACGTAGTATTAATAATAATTGTTTTCATTATCTACGTAGCTTTATTTACTAAAGGTTAAAAAGTATTTGACTGCACGGTTGACCCGGTGGCTGGCAACTAGCTGCGGCGCCACGTGTCGCGGGTTCGATTCCCACAGGGAACAACTCTTTGTGTGATCCCGTAATTGTTGTTTCGCGTCTAGGTGTCATGTGTATGTGAAACTATACGTATGTAAACGCACCCACAACACAAAAGAATTGTCGAATGTGATGCAACATAAAAAAACGAAAAAATTTATCTTGCATTATGTGTATGTATTAAATTTAGCTTGCCCAACGTACACAGTAATGATTGTAGCATAATTTTAAATGGGCAAAAGTTAGAATTTGTCAACGAGACAGTGAACTGAGTGCTGGCGACACCGTCGCTTTAATGTTGCAAATCAATAAAATTTACCCATGATTGGGTAAGTATGTCAAATAAGAAACAAGGTGTTCATCTTATATTTAATTATTAAAATTTAAATAATGGCTTATATTGTTTCATAATAATAAAATGCTAATATAAGTACTAAATAGTCCCCAAAAATAAGAATATAATAGAAGTAGACACATACATTAGCTTTTACTCTTGCATTGAATTAATATAATTTAAATATTTCAGTTACAAACTAAATGTTTATCGAAGTCAAAGGCCCTCTCCGATTAAACAAAATTTTAATATCTCACACTCGAGATGTATCCTGATTAAGTTACTACTAAGGCACGGGCATTCCTTAACAATTTATGCGAGGGGTAAACAAAACAAAAGTTTACTTAACAATAATTTATTAGAATCCTGGTTTACAATAATTATGTTTTTTATGTACGCCCATATGCCGCTTTTATCCGTGTCATCATTATCAAAACCCATATTGTAGAGCATCTTTCGTAGAATTTCGCTTTGTGCTGCGTAATTTATTTTGACGTTTCCTCTCCTTTCCTGGGGGTTTGAATTTTTGTAGCAGCTTCTTCTGCAGCATGTCTTTCTTTAACTATTCTTGAAATTAGCCTTTGACTCGCACCTGAAATATAGACAAAATTAATGAAGTATTTACATACTGTAAATAAATGATAAAATGTAACTATAGTAACTATTGTTTAAGCGGCTTGCGTGCTAATCGCATGGCGTAAGATGAACGCGGAAAGGAACGGGTGTCGGAATTTTACACTAAGCCGAAGCCAAACCAAGGCAAGCTCAAATTAAAAAGTAATCAATGAAAAAATATTGGGTAATTTACAAACACACAGTAGACAACACTCACCAGTAAGCGAAAAATTAGTTTGTTTACTTGATTAAATGCAGTAATCTGAGCCTACACCAGAGCTTTTTACTAAAAAAAAGACTTTGACGTCGCGCTTCACTTTTAATTGCTTTCGAAAGATTAAAAGCACGGAGTAGCCAATTGTAGTAGACACTGTCAATCGATATTGAATGACATTTCAACATGTCGGCCGTAGTTCCCATTTTCTCCATTTCACAGATAACTTGGTACTACTGTACACTTGTATCTGGTCATGAATAAAGTTATTAAAAAAAACATGACTACCTACAAAAAACTAAAACTTTATTAAAATTGTCAAATTTGACAATTACATTTTGACAATGACAAAATTGACAACCAACCAATGACGAAAGTCCGAAAAGCGTGCGTGCTTGTTTCAGTTGTGATAATTTTTGGTTATGTTGTGAACAATTTCATTTATATTGTTGAGAAAATGTCTGAACAAGTAGGAACTAAACCTGCAGGAAAAAGTTGGCGTGAAATAAACCAAGAAAGGAAAGCTTTGAAGCGTCAACGTAACGAGGAAAAAATTATTAAACGTGAAAAAAGAGTTGCGCTTGAACGAGAAGCAGAAACTAAAGTTCAAGAAGAGATTGCACGAGAAAAGAAATATGCTGAAATTTCTACCGTTAGTATAGCTATTCCCGGCTCAATACTGGAAAATGCTCAATCTGCTGAGTTGCGTACATATTTAGCAGGACAAATAGCGAGAGCGGCTTGTGTATTTTGTGTAGACGAAGTTATCGTGTATGATGATGTTGGAGATAAATTGAACACTAAAAAGTCAAAACTGGAAGATGCCGATGGCGTAGTGGTTGCCCGCAAAAGTTGTGTACAGTTGGCGCGCATTTTACAATACCTGGAGTGCCCTCAGTATTTACGGAAGCACTTCTTTCCTTTGCACAAAGATTTAGAATTTGCTGGGCTGCTTAATCCTTTAGATGCTCCACATCATCTAAGGATGTCAAATGATTTTCAGTTTAGGTATGAATAAGATTTTTGTGAACATTGTTTCTATAGTTTCAATCCAATGAAATTAATTTAATGACATGTTTCCTACTTGTAGGGAGGGCATAACTATGAACAAAAAAACCAAGCCGGGTCGAGGTTCCCAAGTGAATGTGGGGTTACTTCAAGACATTTCAACAGATAAATTACTCAATCCTGGTATCAGAGTAACAGTCAGAATGCTCCCAACTCAAGAAGGTGGCAAAAAGCTTAAAGGGAAAATTGTCAGTCTTACCACACCAAGAGCTGAAACTGGAGTATACTGGGGCTACACTGTTAGGATAGCTAACAATCTCAGTCAAGTCTTTACACAAAGTCCTTACAAAGATGGGTATGAAGAAACATAATTGTTTTTTACTACTATGATATACTTATGAACTATGATATTATTTTGTAAAATCAGTACTACACAGTGATATTAACTTACCTTTGGTTTTATTGCAGGTATGATTTAACTATTGGAACTTCAGATAAAGGCACACCTATTGAAGAACTGCCTGATAAAGAGGTTAGATACAACCATGCATTAATAGTCTTTGGAGGTTTACATGGTATTGAAGCAGCTTTAGAGAGTGATGAACAATTAAAAGCTGAAGAAGCTAGTTTGTTGTTTAATCACTATATTAATGTTTTACCTAATCAAGGTTCTAGGACAATTAGGACTGAAGAAGCAGTTCTCATTACTATGGCAGGCCTTAGAAGTAAACTAAAGGCTAATAATGAGCCAATGGTTTTTACTGGCACTGGAATTGCCCAGAGTTCATCATTCCCAACCGCTAAAACGGAGTTGTCAGATTCTGGAACGGACAACAATCTAGATTTAAGCAGATTTGATTAATAATAATAAATATGCATATTAACAACTTTTTGATATTTTATTTTTGTAACCATAGTAGAAAAATATTATTTAACCATTTATCATAATGGAAGACCTCTTTTATACTTATTTGGAATGTGATCTATTTGTTGTTAATAGCTTGTTGAACAGTTTCCCGAAGTGATCTGATAGTTGCAGCTTGATCAGCAGCTCCAATTACAGCTGTCCCAGACACAATCATGTTTGCTCCAGCCTGAAATTATAATAATAAAAATCCTTTATCAAAAGATTTAATGTATGATCTAAAAACGACAATGTCATAATTTTATAACTTACATTGGCACAGCAACTTATTGTTGCGGGTCCTACACCACCATCGACTTCAATATCTAACAGGGGGTATTGTCCTCTTAAATATTTTACTTTAGCCATTTGATTCTCCATGAACTTTTGACCTCCAAAGCCTGGCTCCACTGTCATTATGAGTACCATATCGGACATAGAAATGTACCTTTCAACCTCAGTCACCGGTGTGCCTGGTTTGATTGCAAGACCAACCTAGAACATAATAATTCTCTACATTAAGCAAAATATTTTTCCTTGTTTGCTGTTTGTTGTTTCGTGTTTGTGCTTGTTTGTTTGTTGCTTCAGTCTTTATAATAATCACTTTATATTGAAATGCATGAAAACCCAATTGGAATAGCGATTTACCTTCATGCCATTTTCCTTTATTTTTCTGCAAACTTCTGCAACATTGTCAACTGGTTCAATGTGGAATGTGTATTGGTTAACTCCAGCATCTGCCATTGGCACGATCCACTAGAAATATGAAACGTATTGATTTACATAACGTATAATAAATAAATAATGTTTGAATTGGGAATGATAACTAGGTATATGAGAACGAATCGCAGGTAAACAAACTTAGCTGAACTAACCTGTTCAGGGTTTGAAACCATCATGTGAGTTTCAAAAAATACGTCTTTGATTTTGTTGCGTAAGCATTTTACAACGGGGTGGCCCAAAGTTAGATTCGGTACGAAGTGACCATCCATAACATCTAAATGTAAATAATCTGCACCATTATCCAAAAGTTTTTGAGATTCTTCATAAAGCCTTGATAAATCTGAATTTAGAATTGATGGGCCAATCAATGCTTTTAAACTTCGGCTCATTTTCAGTGGTTATATTTTTCTTAAATAAATTGAAATTTATCACTTGACTTCATACATATAACCGTACAAATAAAAAATAGAGGTGACACTACGCTAGCAGAGGTTATCTCTTTACGCTTTACGCGCCGTTTGTTAAAGTAATAAGTAATACCTACGTTCCGTGTTACGTTACTTGAACATACAGATTACTATACTAAAAACTAGTCAAAGTTGAATATACTAGAAAGGTTAGGATGTAGGTACATAATAATATATTTTTACGTATATTGTAACGTCTGAATAGATACAGCAAGGAAAGGTTAAGGGTAATACATAATTATTAATTAAAGTTGCACAAAGAAAAATAACACATATAAAGGTAACATATTATGTGGTTCCATAATCCATATTATTATAGGAACTAGTTAGGTATCTTAACTAACGAAATACTTTTTGAATTTATTATCTAAGCCATCTGGAGTACCAGGACAACAAATTTTGTTACATTTTTTTATCTACCTACTTGAACTATGTTGACGTTAACGAACATCTTCCTACTAATTATTGCATCTGGTACAATTTTTTCGATATGTATTGCAAAAGATTATTGTAGTACTGACTATTGCAATAATAGCAAGCAACACACTCTGTGTAAATTTCAGGTAAGACATTTACTTAGGGTCTATAGGTACCTTACGATGACCAGAGTAACTAATCGAAATTATGGGATTAAGAAGATATTAAGTATTAGTATAAGTATCTTTTATATGACTCTTGGTCAGTTTTCCTATACTTTCCTATATAAAAATACCGGATTTGATTTTTTATAGTTTTTATTTTGAGGGGGAAATCGTAATATCATTTCTCTTCTGGATGGGGCGAGAATCTCACAGTCCCAGATTCTTACTGACTAAACGCCACCCAGTTCCTTTTTTTTCCAGGCCGGAGCCGCGGTAGGCGTACCTATTATTGAGCTTGTGTTGTTGAAATAAATAGGGAGTTGTGATAGCCCATTTGCTTAGTTACCTTTAAATATAATTGTGATCCTGGCGGGCCACTATTCTACCTACATGCTTTACTAAAATTATGATATATTAATCTTATTTCTCTGAGTTCATAGTATAAAATATGACATACAATTATAGTTGTAGGTACGCTCACTCTCATAGTAACGCAGTAAGTAGTAGGTACCTACCATGCTTCGGCACGAAATGGCCGGTTCGACTGGAGTGATACTTACCCCAGCCTTACAGAAAACTGGAATGAAGCAATGCTTGCGTTTTGTTATGTCATTTGAGTGATCTTACCGAAGGCTAAGGCATTTTTCTACCCTTCTAACAACTCCTAAAAGGGTGGCAACGTGCTTGTAATTCTTCTGGCGTACCTGATGTTTTAACTTTTATAATAATAATATATTCTTTGCATTAGTCTAAGGAGCCAGCCGGTCACTGCACAGATTATGAGAAAACAATTTTGAGCGAAAATGACAAAATAAATATTTTGGACAAAATAAATAGTCGACGTAATAAAGTTGCAGCCGGTGAAATCCGATCATTACCATCCGCTGGAAGTATGCTGAAAATGGTGAATTGATTTCTGTATTTAAAATAAGATAAATATTACCTAAATTAATACACTAGCAATAAAACATATCGTAGGCACGTTTTAGTGTGACAAGAGACCTTTGGTCAGCATTTATAAGCTAATGATGATAGTAATTGTCGTAAAACAAAAACAAACTACGACTTAGGTAGACACTTGAATTATATTACGTCGCGACGACGCAACGCGTACGCTGATCACTATTAAGAGTCCCATAGTGACTTGAAAGTTGAGCGATGATTTTTATATCGATATACCTATTTATTTATATTAATAAATTAAATTTTAATCCTATGATCGCTTCAAACTGGTGGATCTAAAGTTCATTGGGTTAGGTGTTGTGGCTGATACAATGATGATCTATCTAATAAGTAGCTATGACACTTGCAGGTGTGGAACAGGGAATTAGAACTTTCAGCACAGCGATGGGCCGATCAGTGCGTTAAACATGCCGTTCCAGATATTCAAGATACTTGTCGTGATTTGGGTAAGTAAACATTTCGGTCTAATGTTTAGATAACCCATTTTTAAATAATGAATTTACCTGTTATTTTAAATGTGGATAGTTTAAAAAATATTAATCATGTATGTGGGTGCATGGGCAGCCGAAAATAGGAACACATACGAAATTTTTTTTTAATGTTTTTTATATGAAATAAAACATTGATTGATAAATTTAGCTCCTCCATCATAAAACAGCTTGATTATAGCTAAATATTTATGTTCTTATTATTTGTATATAACTGGCCAAGATTCATGGTTATACAATTGTACCTAATTATTAGAAGTGTATGTAATTTCAATACTTAGATTTTATCACTAACTTAGTTACGGTTAAAAATACAGCGTGTTAAATAGTACTTTTTTAAGAGTTGGATTTTTACTAATTTACTATCCAATTAGTTCTCCCGCTCTTGACGAGAGGTTATGGTGACACAGACTAAAAATCGACCCGTTACCTACGTCTCCTGCTCCTTTAAGTAAATTCCGTTACATTTACCTAATTTGATTTCAGGTAAGGTGGCTGTTGGGCAAAATATTGCGACTATACATGGCAATGCCCCTGGATTAACTCCACAAGCCCTCGTCGATGTATGGTACATGGAATTACTGAATATAAATTCTTCAATACTGTTTCGATACGTGCCGTAAGTTTTACCTAGATACCCACTTAAAAAAATATCTTACAATAAAGAATGCATATGAGTTAGGCCCGTAAAATAAAACACACACACACACAAGGACGAATTGTTTACTAACCAAGATTCCTATGACCAGGAATACTTGTGAGTGTTGCAGATTCCAGGTGGTTCCTCAATAACATCCTTTAATAATATAATAGTATAATACGGATGCTAAAAAATGTACTGTTCTTTATGTTTATTGTTTGGTAGATTATTAAAGCACCCATTGTATTTTTTTCACTACCCATAACAAAATGCTTCGACGATTAATCGATTCACGTATCGCGTGGCGTCCCTTCTAGGTGAGTTTATTGAAACAGATGACGCCCATAGACACTCGCAAAAACAGAGGAGTTACGAGTGCGTCGCCGGCTTTTTGAGGATTTGGTATTTGGAGATTTAGGGATTGTGGAGACATCAGGCGAGGGGAAAGATTGGATTGGTCCTGCGGTAACCCCATTCACACCGGAAAACACAACGCTGTGGTTGTTTCGAGCCGGTTTTCTGTGAGGCCGTGGTATCACTCCGGCCGAGCCGACCCATGCGTGCCGAAGCAGGGCTCTCCCATACTTCTTCCTCTATATTGCCGTTTACAATATTTTAACAGTGATATATATGACATTACAGGTCGTCGGATATAGGACATTCCCATTACGATTACTTTACCCAACTCATGTGGGAGGAGTCAAACCAAGTTGGTTGCGGTGGAGTTAAATTTAAAGTATGAGAAATAATGTATATAAAATATATACATATAATATATTATTGTAGTTTAGAGGTCATAGGCATTGTGTAGACAAGATAATTGTTTATAATATGTCTCGGGTTTCTCACGTATCTGATTGACGGGGGAACTCGACTTGTTTCAAGCCATACTAGGGGCTCATATTAAGTGATACACGAATCGGCGGCGCCATGGTTGGCATCGGAAAGAGTCGAATTCGAGATGCTTCGCTTTTGGCCTTGCCACGAGTTGACCATGATGCAGTACCTAAGTTAGCATTATTTATATAAATGTATAAAACAAAACAATGGCTGTAATAACCTGAATGAAAAGCGAAGCTAATTTCGGAACAAAGCCTCAGAATATAGGCATGTAATTAAAATACAGATTTTAGATTACTGTTTTACTGGTTAGTTGCCTAGTTGGCTTACATTACAAAATAAAAGCTACTACACTGAACTCTAGATGAGACTGCAATTTCTTCTTACCTACTTAAAAAAAATCAAGACGGACCAAGCCTAACGTCACAAGAAGTTCTTCAGAACTTCTTGTGACGTTTGTACTTCAATGAGATAACTTTATTTGAACTCTTTATTTGTTTCTAAACAGGAACGTCTTGAAGATGCAAGTTCAAAATACAGAATAATATACAGGCTGGTATGCAATTTTGCACCAGCAGGAAACTTAAAAAATAAATCGGTTTATTCTACCGGTGCACCTTGCTCTAGGTGTCCTTTTGATGGCATTTGCGATCCAATATACACAGCATTATGCTGTAAGTATACATTTATTTATGGACATTATATTCCATATTTGAATAAATCTTATATACCTAGTCTAGCCATAAATACTATAACAAATAAAAAAGTATTTTTTCTATTGCAAATAACATTTATTACTTTTACAGTATGTAAGTTAGTAATATAAAACAGTTGTTTTATATTTATGTATTAAATACATAAATTTAAAACAATTTAAAACATAAAAAGCTTATTTGAAGTGGTCTCCATTGGCTGCAATACAGTCCTTTAAACGTTGAGGCCAATTATCAATAGAAGCACGCACTCTTTCCATAGGAAAATTCTTCACTGCCAATCGTATGGATTGTTTTAGGGAGTCCAAATTATCATGACGTTCAGAGCAAGCCCTACTCTCTAAAAATGACCACAAATCATAATCCAGCGGATTAAGATCGGGACTAGACGACGGTCAGTCGTCAGCTCTAATGAAGTCGGAAACGTTCGTTTCCAACCAAGACTGCGTGGACCGAGCTTTATGACCCGGCGCCGAGTCTTGCTGGAAGGACCCATTGTTGGTTATTGAACATGGTGTTGTTAAGGGGCTTAACTACCTTCTCAAGAATGGTATTTTGATACACTTGTGCCGATGTTTTGATACCTTTTTCGCAAATGTATGGCTCAGTCACTCCTTCATAGCTAACACCCCACCAAACCATCACTGAAGTCGGATAATGCCCACGTTGCACTCTGTCGACTAATTGAAAAGCTTCCTTAGTGCTTTGAGAATAAATACGGTCATTATGTTTGTTAAAATGTTGCTCAATTGTAAAAAAAATCTTATCCGTAGACAAAATTTTTCTGTGACCTCCCTTTGCGTACCGCTTCAGTAGTTGTTTAGATTTTATGACCCTATTCTTTTTTAAATTATCATTTAAAAAATTTCCAGTGCGTCTCTTATAGGCTGCAAGTCCTAAGTCGTCTTTTACAATACGCGACATGGTTCTAGGTGCTATCTTCATCTCCCGAGATAAAATCTTTAGCTTTCGGATAGGATTTCTTCGAATTCTTTCCCTTACTGCTTTGACCACCTTTTTCGTAGGAACACTACGTGGACGGCCAGATCTTTTTCTGTCACAAATAGTGGAGGTCTCATTGTACCTATTAATAGCCCGGTACACAAACATTTGACTAATGCCCAGCGTGTGGAGAGTTTTAAAAATTGCCGTTGCCTCCATACCCACTTTATGTAATGGAATCACAGCGATTCGGTTCTCTTTATCACCCCACTCCATTTTAATATCGCAAAATATTGAACAATTTATTGGCGCCAAAATAAGAAAACACAATGAAAAATTATATAAAAATGACAGATTCCAAATTCAAATGTAATATTTTGTTTATTTTTAATTATAACAGTATTTATGGCCAGACTATGTATAAAACTTAACTGCTGGCCCACTGGACTGACATGACTTACGTGGTCAAAAACTAACCACATGGTAAAATATACGTGGATATACAGGAACGGTTAAAAAGGCCAGAAAAAAACTTAGTAAAAATGATTTTTTTCTTATATTTGAGGCGGTATGAAGTTTTCTGAGCCAGCTAGTTAATTTAAGAAATTACTAATTCATAAATTGGAACTCGCTTTTTGGCGATAGAGTGTTGTGACGTCATGTATTATTTTGCGTTAAATATATTAGCATACTTCGATAAGACATAGATATGTCTTGAAAATTGGCTGGAAAAATAGTAGTGTAATTTTAGCCGTACGCAAAAGTCAAAATATGTATGAACAATTTGATAACCCATTTGTCGTGCTTTCGTAAACGCGTTACGCAATTAGGTACTTACTGGTTGTCTTCGATTTGTTGTAAATTAAAACTTATTAGGAAAACGCATTGACAGAAAAAGTCTTCAAAATAATGTAGAAACCAAATGAATTTATAATTTTGTTTCAGCGTACAATTCTGCAGGTAATGATATAGTTACAGATAAAGATGATAATGTCATTCCCGGGAATTCTGATGGCTTAATTGAACATTCAAGCCAACACATTGAGGCACTGAAAGAAAGAAACGCTATAGATACTGCAACTGAATATAGTAACGATAGTACAGAATCCAGACCAAAATCTACTTTAGATAATATAATCCAAAAAGCAACATTCACGACATTTGATTACTTCTCTCATTTGTATGATTATAGAAGGCACATGATCACTTCATGTACAAAACATAATTTGTGTAAAGATATGATCATGGACGATTTCATTGAATTATTGAAGAAAAAATTAAATAACGGCTCTATGATTAAAGACTTATTAACCACTACTACATCATCAGCTTTAACTACTTATTCGGATAACTCGTTTAGTGATATTGGAATGGCAGCATTTGTTAATAAAGTATACAGCAAAAAAACACCCACCAGTACAAAAAAAACTACATCAAGTGATTGCGTGAATTCCACTTTTTTAGTTGATTTGATTGAAGCTGTAATCTTCAGAAATAGTGGTACTTACTTGAATGTGTAATGTGGTGTAAATGGTTTAAAATCTTTCAAGTATGTAATCAGAATTTGTTTTTTCAGATAAAGTTTCAGCGTCTGAGGAGTACGTTACAAATTCTCAGCCTTTGTCTTCTGTTAAACCAGTTATGGTGCACCCTGAATTAGCGGAGGCTAAGCAAAATCATGATTCTACTGGTCATTACTTTTTTCCCGAAGAAGACGAAGATAACACACAAACTACAGAGTCATACTATGATGATGTTAATTTGCCTGTATCAGACTTAGTATTGGAGGATTTAAAAATGAGTACAGCAACAAATGACTTTTTAGATGAAATTCTTGAATCTGATATTATAGTTGAAAGTACGACTACACTTGTTACGCTCTCACCGGATAACATAAACCTATACAAAAGTGGATATGGTGTGATGAAAAAGTTTCTACAAAATATTGTTGATAAATCTCATACACCCCAAAATAATGAATAGAGATATAAAATTCCAGTAATATTTGTGAAATTTAGAAAATAAAATAACATAGTAGTAAACAATGACGAAGCGTGCATAGAAATTATTACAGTGAAAATTTTTTACCAAATGCGAAAGATGAGGAAAATTAATCTAGAGAGAGGTCTTTCAAAGTCAACAGGTACACTTATGAATCTCGTAGGCAATGTAGGAAAGGCATTAAGAGAAAAACCAAAAATAAAAAACTTACAGAAAAATACTGCGGAAGACACACTTATAGACGAATAAAATCGTTTGCATGAAAATAATATTTCTTACTAATTTATTGCTATCATAATTATGTACGTTATTCAAGATTTAAACAAACATTTTGTGCATTTAAAAATCTATTTGTAAATCATAAAAATGTTATAACATTTCTTAAACATTTAGTGATATAATTTTAACACTAGGAAGACCGAAATTTTGAACTACCTATAAAGACCAGGTGGGGTCAAATGACCCATTCATGGGTTATAATGTTTTATTCATGTATTATGGTTTTAAGTTTTATTGATTAACATCTTATAGTAAATAAAAGAACTTAATAGTAATTAAACATACATTACGTAATAAAAACATAAACATATTAGACACATTTTTGACATTTAATTGTTTACATTACAAGAGCCACACAAAAGCTTTTTACAACGAATTTATACGATTTTTACGATTTATTCGTTTTATTTCTGCAGTTTTGCAAGCGGGTATGCTATTATCAGGCTGTGAAGTAGATGGTGTCATCAGGGAGTGGGAATCTTGGCCGACTAACTCCCTGGCCAAGTCAAGAATGAACTTTTTTCTACTGATTTTTTTCTCGATAGTTTTTTGTACAAAATCCAGGAATCATTTGCTGTCAAATCCAAAATATTATTATAAAACACTTGTCCTGTGTTACAATTAGGTTTTTTGCCATATTTACACTGGTGAAAAAAATATCAGTAGTTACATTTCGACCAGTGGGTCCATTGGTCGCAATACGACCCACTCGCCTGAACTTTGATTTTGTCGACCGACGGCTTTCATTTCTTTCTAAACATATGGGACCTCGACCTCGACCTCTTCTTAGGTTTTGCACTACGTAAAGTCGAGAGCTACTGAATCTGAAACAGTGGAGTAAACGCTAATAAAATGTTTCCTTTTCTCTCAATGTAAAAAAATATTATTTTATTTACATCAATATACAAAATAATATACACTTACTATCAGAATCGGAATATGAGTGGGATCACCATCCCTAAAAGAATCACTATTTTGTGTAATATTGTAAACACTTTCTTGACTTTCTGAGTCTAAATGCAAAATGTGCCTCACTTCTTCAGTCGATTCACAGTCTGATTGATCGTCCGGTAAATTTTGCGACACTTCCAGTATTTTTGAAGGGCAAAGGGAACGATAATGAGGCATTATATTATTATGGCGAGCCCTTATACGTCTTTGTTTTGACAAGAACAAAACAAGAAAAAAATATTTTATTTCAAATACCATAACACAAGTATATTCCACGAAATGTAACTAGCAAGCACGCAGTGGTGTCAAATGACCACTGCGGTCTCTCTAGGTAGGTGATATTTTTTTAATTAGTATTTATCTTGCTATCGGTATACCCATATCAGAATAATGTAAACAATGACAAAACATTAAAAGTCATAAAACGACAATGAGTTCAGTGCTATGGTTTTGATAATATAATTGATCAAAAATTTCATTGGGGTCATTTGACCACTCTGGTCTTTCTAGTGTTAAATACAATTTGATCTAAAACAAACTTGTTATTTAAACGAAAATTGTTATTTTGGAGAACGGAGTCGGGTTAACTTATTTGCTTCATTGCACGGACATTATTAAAGTGAGTTATTTGTTTGACTTGATTTAAATTTTTTATTTAACATGTAATAATAAATATTGTAATACGATATAAGGACACTTTTGTATTTTTTCCACGGCTTCCTAAATATTGAGCTTGTTCTCTTTTTTCTAGCGTAGTCGTCATTACAAACGCATTCATGATCTTCTGAAATACTTCAGTTTTTCATTCCCTATGCTATATGAATCAATACTTGTATTAATATTACTGTGAAAATGTCTGCATAAGGGAAATATCATAATATATTTGAAGTTGGTTTTTTTGTATCACAGTTTCTTCTATGAACGTTTAGTGACCGACGCTCACAATAATCTCCATCATCGGGTTCATTTGTACCAGTATTAGGAGTATTATATGGATTATTTGGATTATATGGATTATACGGATTATATGGAGTAGCTGGATTATCCGAATCATCTTTTGGGAATGTTGACATTTTGTTACGATCCATGAACTCTCGAGTACACGTAGATGTTCGCGTGCATCCGTCCACATATCCGGGAGGTGTCCGTGAACCGAATGGCCCTACTGATGATTCATTCCCATTTGCAGTTCCAGTAAATGCTGTCCATGTACATGTTATTTTTCGGGTGCAATATTTTACTCGTTCAAACGGTGTGTTCCAAGTATATTCTGATGTGTTTGTTGTTTGTGCAGGAGCGTCATCCGCGCGCCTAAAGTTTGTCTTCCCAAATGTTTTATTATTTTTTCTTAGATGCATTAGTTCGTCAAAGGATAAATATTTTTCTGTATTGCTGTGCTTAGGTCGATTAGAAGAAGCATCATTCTTATAGGAAACTGTTATAGGTTCTGTAGTGGTCATTACTCTAGCTGCTTTCCTGTTTTTTTTTGTTTTTAGGTTATTCGATAATGTTGTAAATCGTAAAAGTTTGATTTCAGGGTTTTCGATTTGCCAAAAAGGTTTTACAGTTATATGTTCTTTTAATTGACGTTGTTTTCGCAAACCAGAGTGATCTAATGAATGATATATGTAGTCGTAATTTTGCAAATAATCTTTTGAGAGATCGCTTAAACTCTTATGTTCAGAATTTTTGTCTTTAGGTATTTCTTTATTATTTTCTACGTTAAAAGTCCTCGGAGATAAAACATTTAACGGCACTTTATGATTTCCGTTCTGCACTACGTTAGGAACCAAGTCATAATATTGGTATGCGCCAGGTTTCCTGATACTATCAAATTTATTGTTTTGTTTACGTGCATCTGGACATATAGTCGTAAGACAGTATGATCTTGTAGTGGTAAAACAGAGAGTACTGCATGGACAATTTGTATGGTAGTTGCAATTAGTGATTGCGGGCTTGGAGCACGTCTGTGGTGTGCATTCACATGGCTCAGGCGATAGAGGAATATATGGAACAGGGCATGGTTCTTCCGAATTAGAACACGATGCTTCAGTGCAGGTTGATGGACACATAGTTGTTTGACAGCATTCATTTGGTGCTTTTGTGCATTGGTGAGGCGCACAATTCTCTGGATTTAGTCTAATTCTTCGGGTACACTGGCCAAATTTATTGTATTTTCTACAATCTGTGCTAGAGTAAGGGCCCGTTGGTTCAGTTGTGTATTCATTTCTTCTAAAATGTGAGATGGTATTCATTATTGTGGTACTATCGTAGTTATGTGTTGGTGCTTCGTGACCGTGATAAAGATGAGAGTGCCCACGATCGTATTGGTAATGGTACACATTGTTACTTTCTGATATATTCATTAAATTATTATTTCTAAATAGTTGTTTGCGAAGGTGGGGCATGCGTTTCACGCTACCTGAAATCAATGAATCATTTGTTTTTTTATACTATTAATAGTATATAAGTATACATGTTTTAATAAGAAATATGCTTACCATTAGTTTTGTTTGGCAAAATGTGCCTTGTTTTCTGATTTCGCTGCACGTTGCTATGATTATTATTTGCAATGTTTTGCCCTAGGATATTACGGATAGGATCTATTTCATGCTTCACAGACTCGTTTGATAAATTGAGGATTCTGAGTAAATTGTTCATCGACTGATATCTTTGGGTCATTAATTTGGTAACTGTAATCAGGTAATAGCATTCATCAGTTAAGTGTAAGTGTTAATAATGTTCACGGTATGATACATTATTGATTATTGCAAAAAATCAGTAAACAATTGATACTACGTATCGATTCATATTTATATGAAAACGAGCTGACCCGTTTTTGGCTATTAAAAATAAGGGTTCATCGTAGAAGGTATTGTAGGGTGAAAATTGAGGATTGTATATATTTTTGAATGTACCTAATTAAAAATTTTGAATAAAAAAATTTGGGGTGGACTACCCCTAAGATTTAGGGGGATGAAAAATAGATGTTGGCCGATTCTCATCGATATCGGATAAGCACAAAAAATCATAGAAATCGGTCAAGCCGTTTTGGAGGAGTATGGCTACGAAAACTGTGACACGAGAATTTTATATATTAGATTTAGCCTAACAACATAATCAGCTTATAAGTGTCCACTGCTGAGCAAATGCCTCTTCTCACACGTTAAACGTTTGAGCATTAATCACCACGCTTGGTCAAGGTGGATTGACGATTTCAAGTTTATAATTAGAAATTATAAGTTCAGGTTTCCTCACGACTTTTCGTTTACCGTATGTCAAAGGTGTCTAAATCTTAGAAAGTACATGACTCAAAAGAGGTCACATTGGTACTTGCCAAATTTCGTGCCCTCTTGTAGAAACTGGCGCGTTAGTCTAACAAAGTATTGAAATAATAATAGCAGAACATAACTTACAGTCTTTTTCGTGAGCACACAGTCCATGATATTTGTCATCGGGTTTCATATTGTTTCTGCATTGAGTTCCAGGATACCCTACAGAGTATACAGGCTTCCTATGCGCATTCCCTTTGGGTGCAAAGTTACAAACTAGCCTTTCTACCATAGTATTTCTTTCATCTACCTAAAAACATTTTAATTAAGCATTTTTTCTTTCTTGTTATCTGTTGGGTTGATGAAATTTTATACATATGAAAAAAAGTATATATGTAAAAGTAGATTGTTTAATACTTACATAGAATTTCGATTTGCCACATCCAACATATTCAGTGTTAGCCCATAACAACTGTGTTAAATGATTTGTCTTGTAGTCTCGAGATCTGGAATTGTTAAAAACATTAAAGCTAAATGTAAATTGCGAAATAAGTATGTAAGTCACGTGCGGAAACGGGAAGGGAGGTCCTGAGCTCTTCCTTCTTTTCTACAATTTCAAGACCCTGCACTGTTGACCTTTTTTGGAAAAACAGTGAGCAGTAACAGTCATTTCGTTCGTTCGGCCCGGGCGTACCCATTGTCCCAGTGAAGAGGTACTCACTACTGAACCCGCATGACGTGGCTCTCTCAAGTGCACCATCATGTGACACACTTTCCATCCAGATATGTCCCTACTATTTGATGGACTTGATAGATAATTTTCCTCGATACGTGCATTTAAAGCGTCTCTCGGATCTCGTGCGCCATCCCCGCAAGCAAGCGCGCGCTTGGCAATACCCATGCCAAGTACATATGCAATTCACGCGCGTATTTCTATCGCGTGAAGCTTGTGAATGCGATGAATTTGGGCTTGGTATATAACAGTGAATAAGCTTTTTTTTTTATGAGGGGAAAATCTTCATAATAATATGACTTCTACCGCCCAGGGCCGGGCAGGAGGGAGTGTCAGACTCTTACTGACTAAAAACCCCCTTATTCCTTCTCCTGCTCTGTGCCGAGGTCGCGGTACCTCATTGCGCTTACCCCGCAACCCCGGCTGAACAGGGAATAAGCTGACAGTAATTTCGCGGCTAATTTACTCCGTTGTACATGTGATATTAGAGGACTGTTCCTAAATTGGCAGAGCCACTAATGGACCTGCTCAAGCGGAATGATATCACTTCCTAACTGAAATGAATGTGGGTGTTTAGAGGTATGAGAGAACATGCTGGAAAGTTCCTCATCCTCCATTGAAAAGGAAGGATTCCTTGAATGTATAATCTTGCACGTGATTAGTGCTGTTGTTATTGTTGTGCGATAGATGTCGCTATAAATGATTACGTAGGTTCAATGTCTGCATATTCTAATGTATTCCTAATTTTATTAAGATAGTTATTACATACAGTATAGAGAAAGTCCAGCATGAATGTAAGGATACCTAGTAATCTTTTTAACTTACTCATTGTAATATGCCACACTTCCAGTATAGTCTACGACTTGCATGAACCACATCTCCACAAAACTCTTAACACTGAGGCCTGGAGAAGGCCCCAAGATACTGGCAATGCTCTGACCGACTTTCACATTTTCTGAAAGTTTTTATGGTTTATTGTCAACTGAATTGATAGGTAAAGGTAATGTACTTACATAAAGGTCACACTTTTTATGCAGGCGAAGATGAATGATTTCAATGACACCCCCCACTTTTGTCTAATGACTAAAAATTATGTCATCAAGTGTAGGCATCTCCCAAGTCTCCTTGAGCTATTCGTTTTCCAAAAATCGTGTTTACCTAAATCTCGACATTGATCTTCTTTGTCCGGGTACAGAGATGAATCGCATTGGTCAGCCCAGCGCTGAGCAGAAGTTGCCAGTTCATTAGACCAGTACTGCGAATTTATAAAAAGTTATTAATAATTAGGTTTACAATTTATTTTTCAACATTTTTTTATTGCTGTAATATATATGTGTAATATACATATTGCTGTGTTATTGTATTCGCATAATTTCAATATCAGCTAATCTGTACATTATTTATTAAGTTTCTTAGTGACAGTCTCTTACTGGGCCACACTAGAAAATGTATAGCACAAAATTTAAGCAAGAGTATAATTAAAAATAGAATTATTAAGCTATGTCGCTCAACTAAATTGCCAGCATAAAGCAATAATATTATCACCAAAGTTAAAAAATAAATAGAAGTTGATACTTATGCATATATTCAAACCGAAATATTGATTTTTAGTATGAGCGTGTCAAATAAGTTATAAAAATGCATGAATGCTTGTGGAATAAAATAGTATAAACGATTTGCTGGAATTTATTATGTCATGATCCTTTTACTTACAATTTTTTTCATGTTGGCAGCAAATGGAAGAATTTTTGAGTGCCCCATAGCCACGAAGTTTCTCCTTTCATTGATATTGTTAATTAATTCAAGTTTATTTTGATTTGTTAGGGACGATTGCTCGTATGATATGCAAAAAGGACCAGGTCCACGTGTCTGTAAAATAATAACTAATACAATAAAAATAAACCTGTTCAACACTAAATATCTCACAAACAAAAAATACCTTGTATTTGCAAAGGGTATGATTGAGACATATTTCACAGTAGTCGGTCAGAACCGCACTAAAACCACTGAAACAACCAACGAATACAATCAATTTAACAATGAACATAATAAATTAATAACAACAATATATAAATATATTTTTCCAACGTTTAAACATGGCTGTCGTGGCCATATAGATATCGTGAATAGATATCGTGTCAATCCTGTGTAATGACATTAATTAAGATGGTCTATTTTGTAACAACTGGTTATGTTTTTTGTGTTTCTAATTTCATTGCTAACTATTTATGTTTCAGAAACAAATAATTCCATCATCAAAAAGGAAAGCCTGGATGGTTCTTATAATGTTTACCATAGCGACAAAGATTTAATTTTCCAAAGTAATTATCAAAATCCTTAATACTTAGGCTTTCATGAAGTGGCTATCTATGAATAAATAAATTTAACGAACCTCATATTGCAGATGACAGAAACGTTTTATCGAGTTTACCGACACCGAAATCGATAATTCCCAAAACACAAGAGTTTTTAAACAGAATAAAATCAAATCCTTCAATGAAAAATTTTGGTAACAAGGAACCTGATGAAGTACTGGTAAAGAGACATATTAAAGGTAATGACCTACATACGTCTTCTTTTTTCAAAAGTACCAAAACCACTTTATCTTCGACACCACAAAAGAAAAGAAAATTGCCAGCTGTAGAATTTGGTTCAGATTCAGACGACCTAAATGAGTATTTAAATTATTTTGATGAAATTGAAAAAAAACCGTTACCTGTTTTTCATGAGATTGAAAATGCACGTAAAAGTAAAAATGATCCTAGAAATTTAGAAAATTTGTATCTATACCAACAAAATAACCATTCAGAGCATTCAAAGGATAATGTTTTTGATTTGAAAAGCTTACCATCTAAACATTGTCAAAGTTGTGAACAGTGTGTTTGTCCAAATACAAAGAATACAGGAAAGGCTCCGGGAATAGGTAACGTGCATGATTGCACCCGGAAGCCTGAATATACTTCTACCACGAACTTCTACCCACCATATAATATTCATAATACTCCAACGAATAATCCTCCAGGTCCACAATCGACGACAGTTAGACAAGTGACATCAGGTTATAATTTTCCGATGGGAATTGGCTATCCAATGGGTATTCCGTTCGGTATGCCAGCTGGTTATGCAGGAGGTATACCGATAGGTGTTCCAGCAAATGTTCCGATTGGTTATGCGCAGGGCGTGCCACAATCATATTATCAAGACAACAATTTCAAAGAGGCAACAACGTACAATAAGCCTTGTCGAAATCCCAACCATCTCTTATATTACAATGATGACGATGATACTGGGAAAATTTATGTAGACAAAGATGATGATTATAAAAAGAGGAAACGCAAACACAAAGGCGAAGTTTTTGTCAATATAGAATATGATGTTGAAGAAACTAAAAAACCAATTCAAAAACCTTTTAATCGAAATAATCCGGACATATTAGAAAATGACATTTTTAAAGATGCAAAAAAATCATGTGACGACACAATTATCAAAAAATGTTTTTGCTGTTCTTCGTCGTCTTTAGATATCAATAATTTAAATTTTGAGTCGATTTTTATTTTGTCAATATTTGTTATTGTTGTTAGTCATTATTAATTAAATGTATGACTAAGAATAAGAATATTTTTATTTACCTCATTTTAATTTTAGCGTGGCTGTGTTGCTGGTTGTATTCCACTTGGTAGGTACCACTTTTTTATACGCTTTTTTAGGCCAATTTGCTACGAAATACTAACGAAACCTCTCAATTATATGTAAATTAAATTATCATCAACATCGTCATCAATTGGTATCAGCAGTGGGACTATAAGTGCCCGCTACTGAGCATGTATCTCATCACTGTATGTCAATGGTGCTTTTATAATCATAGAAAGAACATATAAATCATCAATCATCTTGTAACTCAGAAAAGTCACATTGGTTTAAACCCACACGCATGATGCAGGCCACGACAACATTATAGATTTTACATATCAGATATTTAAAATAGATTAAATCACTATACAGTAATATGGAACAATTGGACTAGTATTTCAACCGAAGGTTTAGGATTGGAAGGTGGCCGATATAGCCACCGAGGCTTTACCATTGTACCTACATATCGACTAATTAGTTAAGTTTTTTTTATTGTATATGTCGGCAAACGAGTATACGGCTTACCTGATGGTAAGCAATAAACGCCGCCCATGGACAACCAACCACATGGCCCTCCGGTAACGACACTCACACGACAGTGGGAAGGTACAAATGAGTAGGTATCTAAATCTCTTAACTTTTTCTTCATCTCCGTTCAATATTAAAAGAAAAATTGACCTTTAATTTATTTCTTTTGTAACAGACTTAAGAGTTGCTGTACAAAGTGTCGGTTTAGATTCTCGCATGAAAATACTCTTGGAGTGATCAACAAATTGGTTCCTATTCTGCATCTGTGTAAATATAATATTTTCGTTGTCATATTAAACTTTCACAATCAATCAGTACGCAAGGGCCTCATTTTAAGTACATATATGGAATACTTGTGCTATAACAACCCGGTCTTTATAAGTTAATTAGTGTACATGACAAGGTATACGTAACAGAAGGTGTTAACATCAAAATAAAACTAAAAAAAATTACATATTCAAAAGTATATACGATTTTACAGGAAATATCCTTATCCCACACCGGGATTTTTCCTGTCTAATTATTTACTTACTAATAAGCTACTTTTAAAATACGTTATACATACATACATATAATATTTTATTGAACTTTATATATGTATATGTAGGGTGTATATTAATGTAAGATTCCATCAAATGAAATTATTTTATGAAAAACGCTTATTTGAACTAAGAACTCCTTCACAGAAGCATCGTAGCGTGTAATGAAATGGGATGTGCTGAAGAAAATGTTTTGTATCTGACCTATTTCATTACATATATATAGTTCATTATATACAATAGGTATTTTATAGAAATGAAAATGAATGATAATCCTTATGTTGTGAATGTGGAATTTCTAGGACAATCCCCATTATTACCATATTGATGTTTTGTCTTATTATTATTTTTTCTTTATGGAATAGCCCACCACCTGATCAACGCCGCCCATGGATACCTGCAACACCAGAGGAGTCACAGGTGTGTTGCCGGCCTTTTAAGAAGGAGTACGCTCGTTTCTTGAACGTTTGAAAGTCGTATCGGTTCGAGAATACCGCATCATTCCAAAGCTTTGCTGTGCGGGGCAGAAAGTAACGCGTGAATCGCACAGTTGTAGACTGCCAACCATCTATGTGATGGGGATGCGGAACGATGGCGAAAAGATGCGGCGGGGATCAAACCGAACAATTCCTTAGAACACTCCCCGTGATAAAACCACTAAAGTTTAAACTTTTGCTATCATGAATGTATGTCAAAATTTAGAATGCTAATAAAATAATTAGGATGACGTCAATATACCTACTACGTACTAAATGTTTATATTTTACTAGCGGCCCTCCCCCGCTTCGCGCGGGTCCAACTATCAAACTGACAACGAAAAGGTCATTTTTTCCAAATTTTTCTCTGTACTTTTCTAATATTTTCTTTGATAAGAACCTTCTTCTGATAATAACTAACACAACAAAAAATGAATTAGCAAAATTGGTCCAGGCGTTATTGAGTTATGCGCTTACCAACACATTTTGCGATCCATTTTTTTAAATAAGAAGATATGTTTTTACGTAGATCACTTGTCTAACAACTAACAAGCTAAATACGAGCAACATACCTACCTATGTTTAAAACTATTTGCCGTGGAATGTTTATTCCAAAGTATTCTATTTATATTTACACAGATTTGTAAATATATGTCAATGAAAATATGCCTATATATATTAAATTACGTTCACCTACGCAATAAATCAATTTTCGCAAAAAATGCATGTATGTATTAATAGATTACACGAATGTATAATTTTTTATGATATTCGATAGGAATTTGTTATTAAACTGACTTGAGTAATCCTCGGTTTAGGTCACTGACCCGAATTCATTACTCCCTAGTTTTACATGCATAGTTTAAGCTCGGTTTTGATAGAACGAGGTGGCTTGAATCGAGGGCTCTCGGCAGTCAACCCGGGCACTACTCGAATCATGTACGATTCACGTATGGTACCTGTAGGTACACCTTTGCCTGAGAAAGTGTACAGGTTTCTTTCGCGCAGGGTTGCCACATGACCGGTTTTCAATGCTGTCCCTAAATTTTACGCTAATCCCACTATTCTGGTTTGTTTTGTTTGTCGTTGTTTAGAAATAGTTTGTTGTCTTGCAATGAAAAAAATACAAAGAAGGTCTGAATGTCATCTGTTCTTGAATATTTCTGCTGAATTTTTTTTGAATATTTTTTGTCTTCTAAAGTCTAAAGCCAATAAATCTTCATATTGTTTAACTTTACAACAAAATTTTCTACAGGCTTCAAATTTGGGATTTCAAATGTGTAATTTGTTCTGGAAAAAATGGTTACAGTATTAGTAGCACAGCAGTGATTCTTTCGCATTCGAGGGGCACCACCGTCACTGTCGTGAACCCAAACCCCAGATAATTATGAATGAATGAAAAATAATATTCTTTAATATACACCATGCCTAAATTAAAAATAAGACAACCGGAATAAAAAAAACATAGGGTACTACAAAAAAAGTCAAAAGTCAAAAATCATTTATTTCAATTAGACCACAGTAGGCACTTTTGAACGTCAAGCAAGCAAATGAGGAAAAAAGTATATAACAAGAGCTTTAAAATTAAGCGTGTCAGTCTGTCCGTCTGTCCTCTAGTGAAGCTATTTGCTCGTTCCAAAGTGTAGATTCCTATGGAGAAGAACGAGCAAGAAACTCCATGGTTACTCTTTTTCAATCAGTTTTACAATACATTTCTTTGTTACATCATTTAGTCGGTTCTGATATGTGAGAACAATGTAACACTAATGTTCAGGCAAAAAGTACGAAAAAGAAGTGAACCTCAAGGACAACATATTTAGACAGCCTGGAGATGACCAGTCCCAATTGGCGGCGCCCGTTCACGAACATGACACGTACACCAGCACCGCCCAACTCAACCATATTATAGGGAATTGGGCGATCCAGTGCCCGTGCCACCGCCAATGAGACCTCTGAGTGAGCATGACAGCTCCCAGCCGACACAAGTACCTATATTCTACAAGTCTTACTTAATTATAATAGGTGGGGAGCATTTATTTAAGGATTGGCAGACACAAAACAGATGTGGTAACTAGTCTCGACATGGTTTTTCCCATCTAGATAATATTATGTATGTATGTATATATGTATATGTATATATGTATATGTATATCTGTATATGTATACCTGTATATTATAGTATGTATGTTTCAATATATAACATATACTTAACATGTATTATTTATTGTATTCGTTAACTTATTTTATGCATATCTATTTATTTATGTGTAAAGAATCGTGTTTGTTTCTTCCTTTTTCTTTCCCCTTTCATCCTGTTCTAGGACTCTGTGTCCTTGCTTCGCACCAACCGCAAAAATTCTCTGCACTGCCCTATGGTTGACTGTTAGAGAATGCCTTAAGGCATTAAGTCCGCCATTCACACTGTTTGTATGAAGAAGAAATAAATAAATAAATAGATATGCATAAACTAAATCTAAAATTAAACTCCATCCAAAGGTTGTCTACCTTTGGATGGAGTTTAATTTTAGAATAATTTTTGACTGTCTACATGTCTGCCATATTTCGACTATATTTTGTATTTGATCAATACTTTAAACAGCTAATTGAATATTTACAAATTCCAAAAATAATTACAAAAGTTGAATTGGTTTTTTTGTAAAGATATATATACAGATTTTCTTACTTAGCATAGTCTTGAACCGGAGACCTATATTATTACATTCTGTGGCTTCGGAAATGCCCAGGAAACGAAAATCAGACTGGATTTGGCAACCCTAAATATCGCGCGAGTGCATTCGGGCGAGAATGTATGGCCACCATAGACCCGCAATCCAACCGTATGCTGACGCCACGCGCCAGACCAATCCGAGTTGAATGCTATTGATCTCAATTTTTCTAGTGCACTCAGATCATTTTTATGATATTTTTGCACTGCATAAGCTTAAGATTTAAAGCAAAAATACCTGAGTGAGTGGTACAACTCACTTAAAAAGGTAACAACTTCGTCCGCATATGTTTTTTGATTTGTTTTTATTGAATACTAGCTGTTGCCCGCGACTTCGTCCGCGCGGACGCCGTAAAGCACCAAAAATACTATGCCTGCGTCATTTTAAGTGTAGTTTTTTAGTGAGCAACTTTTAAGATCACATTCCCTTGCAGTTGGCGCTGCAGTATAACTTCACCTCATGAGTACCTCTCAAAGCGCAGGTGAATTTTGAATATGGTTTAATTCCTACGTCCCACGAATAACAGAATTTAAAGAAACACAATTATAAAATTTCTCTATAAACTACATTTGTAGTTTTGCTCTCAATAGCCAAAATGTATAGAGAGTCAGGACTGGTGACGCGGGAGCAAGCGACGTACAGTTGTCCGTGTGAGAAGCAGCTCATCCTTAGGTCGACACCCGCAGCCTTCAGTGTCTGTCCCTGTGACTTATTGATGGTCATCGCGAAGCAAACACTCAGAGGGAACTGCACGTGCTTGAACTGGAAGGGGTAGTTATGAGATATGAGGGGAAAGCGTAGTATAAACACTGCCTCGCCGACGCCACAACCCGTCAAAATTTCCGCCTCGATAATATTTCTATGCAGTGAGATGACTTTAAGACGGGTCCCGTTACACAACTTCGGAGGAGACAGGTTCCGAAGAAGTATGATCGGGACGCCAACCTTCAGCTTGATGTTATGTGCTGGAAGTCCACTTGCTGTGAGGGAGTTGAGAAATTCCACCGGATAGTGTGTGGCGTCATCTTGCTCGACTACGGTGTTTATGGAGGTGTACACCACTTCATTCCCCTCAATTTCCGAGAGAATGCTTTCATTGATTGCTGCAGCTTGATCATTTTTAGGCGTCAAAATGGCCCGCTCGCATGCCCAAGAATTCGGCTGGTGCGGTATTCGACTGATATCCCCGTACACGCAGCGAATGAGTTCATCTAAGGTGGATACCACTCTACCGATAGATTCTGGGAGCACCACCTGTCCGCCCCTCTCCTCTGGTAGAGTACCGTCGCCGAGACTTAGAAGGACATCAGAGAATTCTTGAGCGCGTGCATTGCCGCCGAGCTGAGCTCTCATATTGATGGTCAAGCGCAGCGTATGAACGCGTGACCATAACGCAGATCGTTTCAACGAAGCATTCACCTCGTCAGCCCTAGATCCCCGCGTTACCACGGGAAGCGTTTGTCGGAAATCACCACTAAACAGAACTGTAACACCGCCCATCAAGTGTTCGTTCCTGCGGATGTCCTGCAGGGTTCTATCCACGGCCTCAACTGCCTTCCTATTCGCCATCGTGCACTCATCCCATACGACCAGAGAGCAATCCTTTAGCACGTGTCCCTTGTCACTGTTGCGTGACACACCACAAACAGGAGTTTCGGTGCTCTCTAAGTCGATGGGAATTTTGAACATGGCATGTGCCGTTTTGCCACCAGGAAGTAGTGTAGCAGCGATTCCCGACGACGCTACAGCAATGGCAATTTTGCCTTGATAGCTGCAGCGATGTTAAGAGAACGGCTAACTCATTCGTCGTTGGTGCATTATACCGCCCGGGATGGGCTGCGATCGGCCTTCTATCTGCGCTGATGACAAACTTAAAGCGGTTGCGCTCGTTCTCAGGCACCAACGCCAGGGCGACTTTGAAGTTCTCAATGTGTGGATTCACATTATGCAACATACTTTGCAATCCCCTGACCAGACCAGAGTCCAAATTGGGGATGTGTCTCCTTCGCACGTTGGCTTGTTCATCGAAATCGCTAATAAAATAAACTTGCAAAAATTTTGGCGTGTCTGTTGGTAGTAAAGAACCGATTTGGTGATAAACCTGCCCCTGTACCTTGAATGTTGGCATGAATCCTGCTATTATAAACTCGGATTTTTTTCAAAAAATGGCTGGACTTTGGGTGCTCGCCATTTAATAGGACTCTTAACAGGTCTGGCGGGTCCTGCATAGAGTCCAAGCGGACCTTACCAGATGCACAACACATCCCATTTGGCTCCCCTTTCCATTTGCGTGCTTGGCAGTGAGCACACACTTCTTCTAAGGCACCAATATTGCCATAAGCGGCGTAGTTAATCACAACATTGTACATAAATCCACTTCCCTCTTTGTTTAGCCATGGTTGCTCTTCGATATCGTAATCCGTGGATTCCTCATCAGATGTTGAAAGCTGATTTACGTTACGACGCAGGCGATCTTGTTCTGCTTGTGCCGCACGCTGTTCGTCCGACCACGTTCCCCGAATCTCTTGAATTCTGTCCCGTTCGTGTGATAGATGATCGCATCTCCAAGCAGTTCTTGGTACCGCTGCCGAGCAGCTGCACGACGTTCTTCACGCTGCTCATCTGTCTCTAAAGAACGTGACAGGGCATGCTGAGAGCGGACTCTTCTTAAGCGGGTCTCCCGTTCTTCATCGTCTTCAATCGACCGAGAAAAAGAAGCGCGGCTCCGCTGCAAACATAACCTCGCCTCTCGTTGCGTGTACGTTTCAGACGCGCGAGAATCAGCGTGGCGCTCCCGATCACTTTCCAGTCGAATTTGTCGCGCTTCGACACTCTCGCAAGATCGAGCGGCATCAGTGCGACTGCGCTGCGAACTTAGTCTCGTCTCGCGCTGCGTATACGTCTCGGATGCGCGAGACTCAGCGTGGCGCTCCCGATCGCTTTCTCTCGCTGCGTGAACGTCTCTGACGCGCGTGACTTAGCATGGCGCTCTCGGTCAATTGACAGCCGCATCTCATGTGCTTCTGCACTTTCCTGAGACCGCGACAATGCATTTTGAGTGCGCATGGTATCTAATCGCGACTGGCGCGCCGTACTACATTCTCCTCTTCGAGTCTTTGCAATTTGTTCACGAACAGAAGTCAACCTGGCCTCACACTCGTCAGCGGTTTCAAGGGATCGAGCTAACCTTCTTTTTCGCGAATGCTATGACGATTGTGATAGATTAGACCGCTTTCTGGGCATTTTTACTACTAATAGACAAATTAACACGAAGTAAACAGAATAATTTAAGAATCTCGATAACTTATAAACAACGCAGGTAACCCCCGTTTCTGTAGGTTGAAGCGGCGACATCGGTACTCATAACATCACTTTTTGTGAACGAAACCATAGCGCGATCTAATTCGACGCCAACGCCATCTAGTTAGGAAAATGGAAACATTTTTATATGGTAAACAATATTAATTTCTCAATTACGACTGAATACGTTTTCAACGTGAAAAAAACGTAACCGCATATGAATAAAAAAAAATGCTAGTTCTTCATCACACCTATGTTTATAATTATACACAAAAATATTGTATGAATTCCGAAGCAACAATTTTACCAATATAAGTCTATGTTTTATTTTATATTTTATTTTTTTTGTGTCTAGGTTTGTGATAGCACGTCCTGTCAAACAACCTGCTTACAAAGGTAATTTAAATGTGTATGAGGTAACACTACATGCTGCTTCAGTAAGGTTTACAGATATAAAGGTTCATTACTCATCCCCCGTAGGTGATAGCGTGATAATATGTAGCCTATGTGATGAACCGACCTGTCAGTTATATTCATGCAAAATTTCAATTTAATCCATGCAGTACTTTTTGAGTTTATCCGTAACAAACATACAGACAAACAGACAAACAGACAAACAGACAAAAATTCTAAAAACCATATTTTTGGCTTCAGTATCGATTGTACATCACGCCCCAAGTATTATTTCAAAAATATATTCAATGTACAGTTTTGACTTTCCTACGATTTTATTATATGTATAGAGGAGGCAAAGGAGCAGACTGATGGTGATCAGCGCCGTCTATGGATACCTGCGACACCAGAAGAGTCAAAGGCGCGTTACCGGCTCTACAAGAAGAAGTACGATACGTTTACTACGTTTCTTGATTTGATTTGAATGTCATATCGGTTCATCAATCTAAAGATTTGCTATGCGAGCCAGAAAGATTCGTGGAAATCACGAAACAACTGCCAGCCATCTACATTAATGATAGGGATAAATATGTTTTCACATAGGTCGAATCCCGACGACTCCTCGGAGCACGCCCTGTCGTTTTTTTAAGAATTAAAAATAAAGTACAAAATGATATACTTAATGATTTTTTAATCTTAAACCAAACTCAGATTGCTTCGCACTAAACAATTTACTAGGACATTACCTGGTGTTAAAATATAATTAACTCATCAATAGGGGCGCCGATAATGCAATCAAGATGCTTCTCTGGCCATCAAATTAAAATCGATACCACATGACTTTAGTTGACATTTTCAAAGTAAATCTGTACAAATTATTATTTGGTTATGAACGCCGAAAATTTGCGGACAAAACAAATGATGCTAGACAGAAGTACCCCTAAAAATAGATATTCATTACCCATTTCGATGATGATTAATGGACGTTGAAGTGATGTAGATTTTTGATGTTTTTTATTTGTGTCTGTTCCCGGCCAGACAGTTTAACAGATTAAACAATTTATCGGAATGAAACAACGGATTCGTTGATTCATCTATTTTTAAGTGTATATGTTAAAAAACTCCAGTTAGTGTATACAAATGGTTTTTGGTTTTCAATATCGAATGATTCCGATTTAGAATTTGTAGATGTGTAATGTAGTAAAGGTCTTCGTATACGTATCGATACATCTTTAAAATTATAGTTCCGTATCTTCAGACATACTTATTATTGTTTATAGGTAAATAGCTAATAATAATAACCGTTTGTCTTGGTATGGCCATGTGAAAAGGAGGGATGAAACGCATGTTACAAAAAAACCATGAGTATAAATGTGGATGGATGGAGAGGGAGAGGGAGACCAAAGAAAATATGGATGGATTGTGTGAGAAGTGATATGGAAGACAGAGGAGTTAGCGATAGCGTGACGAGTGACAGGACAGAATGGAAGAAAAAAACCTATTGCGCCGACCCCAAATAAAACGGGACAAGGGCAGGAAGATGATGATGATAGGTAAGTAATAGCTGAGGTGCAATATAAAAATTTTGATAAAATTAAATAAAATGTTGATTTATACAGTATATTAGAGATTTATCAATAACTCACGAGAATTATTCGTGAAAAGCTTTACTAGTGTCAAGTCGCAACTGGCGACGCAGCAGTGACGCTACGCAGCTCATGAATAAAAATTTAGTAAGTCTCACGATATTTACTAAACATAAATAGGTAAGAGAAAAATATGAAAATTGTCGGAAAAGAAATGTCTATGATTATAAGACTTACTTCCCAAAAGATTTTTAAAGAGCTATAGTTATCATTGCTGGTAGACAGCCTCCGTGCCAGCGGACATAAATACGTTATCCAGTACATTAAACAAACCGTTCAATGCCTTCACTAATTACTTTGAAAATGATGCAGCAACAATGCCATTCACTTTCTATTTCAGATGACGTCATTGAATCGTGAATAGCATGTTCCGAAACGTTTTGGACTTGCGTAGTAAGAATACATTGACGGTTTGTTTGCGAACACCCGAGGTCGACGCCGTCCGTCGTCGCGACACGCGCCACCGCCGCCTATCTGCTCGTTACATCCATTTATGATAGAGTACCTACAACTCACCTTTGCTTCTTTTTACATTTTTATAACAAATATGTATTCTACAACTTTTTTGTGTATTAAAATCAAAAGAATTTAATCTAAAGTTTCTATTGTACTTCATCTAATCTTAGGTTCGTCTTGTCTTGAGACGCTTAGAGAATTTATTGAACTTTTCATATTGGCTAAAAATAATAAAATGTAGTTGGTTTTTTTTCTAAAAAATACATTTAGTGATAGCCTTTTGTTTCAAGAAAATTTGGTCGTCCAAAAATCTTTGGTATATTCGGAATGTCTAAATAGATTTACTGGTTTATTTCTTAAAATTACTGCTTATTTTTCTAATGGACTTTGGTTTTATATTCAATATTGTATTTTGAATTATTTTAGTTATTGAATGCAGTGTCATTTATGTGACATTGTCTACTCATATACTATGGGAGTAGATCAAGCTTCGAAATTCGATTTCGAAGACTTATCTCAGGGAAATTCTAGAATATTCCTTGAAAAACGAATAAATGAGAATTCCGTTTATAAAAAAGAAAAGACTTACCTACCTACAGAAATACTGTTCAACAGTAATATTTGCGAAGAAAAATTTGAAGAGGCACTTTATAGAATTGTAGGCAATAAGTAGTTCTGTGCCACGACACGTGGCGTCACAAGTGGTATTGAGACTTTGGTAATAAAGTATTTTTAGAGACAATAACAAGCGTACATATATAGGTATTCTCTTTTGTATGTATTTATCGGGTGATGATAACCTGACGTATTTAAAAGTCTAGTGTATCGTTTCACGATTGCGTTGTTCCCGACTAGTTAATGCGTCTACTACCCCAGAGAGAGCACTCCTACAAACTTCATTAAAAGTTTTACTGTTATGACCAACATGGAGGATGTCAGCGATTGAAAATTAAATAGGTTTAGTGCAGTTTCACTAACTATTATTAATTATAAATGATACTTATGCACATTGACTGCACGGTTAGCGCAGTCGATGGGCTGTTGTGCAACGTGTTTTGGGTATTGGTGGCTTTTTTTTTGTGAGTGGAAAATCATCAAATGACTTGACACTCCCTCCCGCCCAGGGCCGGGCGGGAGGGAGTGTCACACTCTTACTGACTAAAAACTCCCCTGTTCCTTCTCCTGCTCTGGGCCGAGGGTATTGGTGGCTTGTGTATGTGAATTTGTACATTTGTAAAAACACCCACGACAGTGTGTGACACGACAGTGGAGAAAATCCTAGAGTTGGGTAACGTTTTTTAAAAAATAAATAAAATTAAAAGTACTAATTTCTTAGATAAAAATACCGGTATCGATGAAATCATTTTATACTTGAATGCGCTACAAGTGTTGAAATGGTTGCCGACGTTTGTAGGGCGATTAAAATTTTCCAAAAGTTTTTATTACAAAGTCAACGATTTAACAAAATAACGGCATCGAGTCTGCTATTACAATAGTGTTAGAATAGTAGATCATTGGTTTCAAAATTGTTGATTTTGATAAGTTTGGTAATCTACTAACACGATAGCGTCATTATGACTTTCCAATGCCACTTCATTGAAATAATTCTTTAGAACGGTAATCTCGTAAATAATGAAAAATGAATATTTGACATAATGCGGTAAATTAATAAAAAATGACAGTTCCTTTATTCCATGATTTACGTTTAGAATATTAATGTGCAGTTATTGTTTATAATTCGTTACAAGACATCTCGTACTATAATAGAATTATAGTACGAGATGTATTCTATTACGACATCGCCGAACGCCAATGATCAGCCATTTTGAATTAACAGATTACGAACTTTTAGCAAAATGACAATGGAATCGTGTAGGAATGACAACACTGAAAATAGTAGACTCGGGCCCCTGGTGGAATGTGTGCGCACCGTAACAAAAATCTCTGACTACTAAAAGGTGGAATTGTATCCGAAAAACATCGACCCTTTATGGAAAAATGAGCTGTTCAAGTCGTTTCTATTAATATAACGAATCATAATAATAAATTGTCGATTCTTCCTCGTAAAGGGCACGTATATTTTTATTTCATCGCCTACTAGGAGCCCGTTTCGGTTTGACATGGGTTCTCGTTTCCAATTTACTCAACGAATCTGCCAATATTTCCTTTATTCAAACCTTACTGAAGTCAGAATTATGTTTTGATGCTATTATACCTACTTCGCGTACTTACTCTCATCTAGATTTTGTGAACAGTATGTGTACTTACATATACATATGTTGCTAGTTTGATGTCAATAAATGACAGCCACCTTAACCTGGTCACATGTATTGTATAATCGTTAGGACCATATCGAAGACCTGCCCACTACTGAAATCATGAAATGCAATCAATTTGACCAGATCATCAATTTTAGTCTCCAGAACTTTGTCATCGACGTTGTAATAGGTTAAAATATACTATTATGATCGAAAAAATCTCAAGAGAAGCTTAGTGATAATTATTGTATCAAAGTGTCATGTAGCTGTCTACATTTAGAATATTTAGAGGTAGGTTTGAAGTGTGACCCTCTACCTACATCATTTAGCTGCTAAAGTTCGCACCTCAGCGCCACTTGAGTCAAATAATTTCATCTGATATCGTCAGAGCTTGCAGAAATTCTGCCGTTACTTAATTTTCATATGTTTTAAACGTGGATCGACGCGAGACACAATGTAGGTATTTTCTATTGTGTTTTATATACCGATATTTAACGGGTTAATATTTATAACTAAATAAGTTTGGGAGAGCCATGCTTCGGCTCGACCAGAGTGATACCACGGCCTCACAGAAAACCAGCGTGAAGCAACTCTTACGTTTCGCCGTGTGAGTGAGGTTACCGCGTTACCGAAGGTCCAATCCTTCTCTCCCCATCCTCAATCCTTAAATCTCCAATATCCCGCAAGAGGTCGGCAACGTACTTCTTGTATATCCTTTGGTATAACGAGTGTTCATGGACGGCGCTGATTGCTTACCACCAGGTAATCCGCCAGCTCGTTTGCCGACCTATTACATAAAAAAAAATATTTCGCGGTATGATCAAATCATTTAGGCACTTCTGGTTTATGTAGAACGTCAGAACGATTTTAATCATTGGTTCGAACCGCATCATGAGTAGACAGTCAACTATTTCAGAAAAGACGACGATGAGCAAGATTTTGATGTAAGTAGTGATCAAAAATATCCATTAATCCATCAATTATACTTTATATATTAATTAATTTTCACTGCTTGCTTCTTGGACCCAAATTTTGGATGATGCGAAGAATAGTAAATTCAACTGGTAAAAAAGGCACACTGGTAGATAAAACCGATCTATAAGTATATGAAGCTTTAATTTATATTTTTTTTTTAATAATTAAATCATTTATTTGTGTTCATAAAAAAATGTATACATTATAAACCCACCAAACTGTTTAGACAGTTTGACGGCGGAAATAGCGCTCGTTATAGCATCGTTAACATAATATACATATTTAAAAATTCGGAACAAATCAGGACTTATAGTAATCAAAAAAAAAAATCAAAGAATAAAATAAAATAAAATAAAACTAAAGAGTAATTAATTTAAACTAAAAGATCGAAGTAGTTACCTATGTGCGTTAGCTAACATTATTAGAGAACTCTGTATTTAACATTTGTAGCACTTTCTTTTTGAGGGAATATCTGCTTATTTGAGTGTCAATTTGCCTTCAACCAGTCATTATTGTTGTACAACATGGGGATCAAATACTTGTTGGTTCTTGACCCGTAATAGTTTTTCCTGGGTGGGCAGACTAACTTATTTTCTCTTACGCGTCTTGTATTGTACTTATTAACTATTT